CAGGGGGCACCAACGCTCTGCTGGTGCTTCTATCGCCAAAACTAATAAGGCAGGGGTCTTCCAACTTGGCCCTTTGATGACTTGTGGACTTCAACTCCCAGAATTCCTCAGCCAGGCACGCTGGCTGAGGAATTCTGGGAGTTGAAGTTCACTCCTCTTAAAGTCTACATCAGGGGTCTTCAAACTTGGCCCTTTTGTGACTTGTGGACTTCAACTCCCAGAATTCCTCAGCCAGGCATGCTGGCTGAGGAATTCTGGGAGTTGAAGTCCACTCCTCTTAAGGTCTATATCAGGGGTCTTCAAACTTGGCCATTTTGTGACTTGTGGACTTCAACTCCCAGAATTCCTCAGCCAGCGTGCCTGGCTGAGGAATTCTGGGAGTTGAAGTCCACTCTTCTTAAAGTCTATAGCAGGGGTCTTCCAACTTGGCCTTTTGATGCCTGGCTGAGGAATTCTGGGAGTTGAAGTCCACAAGTCATAAAAGGGCCAAGTTGGAAGACCCCTGTGCTAAGGTCATCCTTACAGCTGGTCCTCAAATTACAGCAGTTCATTTAGTGACCCTTCGAAGTTACAACGGCATTGAAAAAAGTGAGTTAGAACCGTGTTTCACACTTACGACCCATTGCAGCATCTCCATGGTCACGTGATCCAAATTCAGACACTTGGCAACTGACTCCTATTTATGACGGTCACAATGCACCTGAAGGCAGGAGAAGAAGCAACAAATGGAAACTAATCAAAGAGAAAAGCAGCCTGGAACTAAGGAGGAATTCCTTGAAAATTAAAAGGAAGTTGTGGATGCTCCATGACTGGAGGTTTCTAAGAAGAGATTGGACAACCATTTGTCCGGAATGATATAAGATTATTATTATTATTATTATTATTATTATTATTATTATTATTATTATTAATAATAATAATAATAATAATAATAATAATTAATAATAATAATTAATAATAATAATAATTGGAAGAACCTTGGAGGTCATCTAGTCCAACCTCCTGCTCAGGCAGGAAACCCTATACCATTTCAGACAAATGGCTGTCCAGTCTCTTCTTTAAAAATTCAGATGAGAATAGAATAGAATAGAATAGAATAGAATAGAAGAGAAGAGAAGAGAAGAGAAGAGAAGAGAAGAGAAGAGAAGAGAAGAGATTATGGAATGGAATGGAATGGAATAGAATGGAATAGAATAGAATAGAATAGAATAGAATAGAATAGAATAGAATAGAATAGAATAGAATAGAATAGAATAGAATAGAATAGAAAGATATGGAATAGAGAATAGAATAGAATAGATAGAATAGAATAGAATAGAATAGAATAGAATAGAATAGAATAGAATAGTTGGAAGGGACCTTGGAGGTCATCTAGTCCAACCCCCTGCTCAGGCAGGAGACCCTACACCATTTCAGACATATGGCTGTCCAGTCTCTTCTTAAAAACTTCCAATGTTGGAGCATCCACAACTTCTGGAGGCAGGTAGTTCCGCTGGTTAATTGTCCCCTGCTCAGGAAAGGGGGGGGTTGGAGCAGAAGACCTCCAAGTTCCCCTCCAACTCTTGTTCCTGTAATTGCTTCTCAGTTCTTACTCAATGTGATTCTAATTGACTTAAGATTCCAAGAAGCCAGCAACTCTTATGGGGTCTTTGAAGTCTGTTTCTGCTCCACTGGACTCCTCTTAAGCAACTCCCAGCAGTAGCCGGAGAGGCAGCCTGAGGGCAAATGCTGAGTAGGTTAGGAGGCAGGCAAGAGGCTGAACAGTTGGGGAAGCAGAAAACTCCTACCAAACTCTTTAATTGCTCCAAGGCCGGAGGGGGAAAAAATGTTTTGCATTGCGAAGGGAGGGTAATGAAACAGGAAAGCACACTCAAATTAATTCCAGATGCCTTTGCTTTTGTTATCTGCTGGAATAACTGGGAGGACAACAAGGGTAACCCCTTCCTTTCCAAAAACCTGGAATCTCACCCAGGATCCGACCAAACAGCCCCTCGGATCTACGGAATACCTGCCCTCCGCCAGGATCAGAATAGAACTGGAAGGGACCTTGGAGGTCTTCTAGTCCAGCCCCCCTTGTTCAAGCAGCAGACCCACCTCTATCATTTCAGACAAATGGCTGTCCAGTCTCTTCTTCAACAGCTCCAGTGATGGAGCGCCCACAACTTCTGGTGGCAAGCTGTTCCACCGGCTAATTGTTAGGAAGTTTCTCCTTAATTCCAGGATGCTTCTCTCCTTGACTAGTTTCCATCCGTTGCTTCTTGTCCTGCCTTCGGGAGCTTTGGAGAATAATTTGACCCCCTCCTCTACCTTGGAGCAGTCCCTCAAATACTGGAACTCTGCTATCGTTTCCCCCCCCCCCCAGTCCTTCTTTTCTCTAGACTGGCCATTCCCAAATCCGGCAACCGTTCTTCGTATGTTTTAGTTTCCAGGCCTTTAATCATCTCAGTTGCTCTTCTTTGCACTTTTTTTTTCCAAAGTCTCAATGTCTTTTTTGTACTCTGGTGACCAAAACTAGATGCAATATTCCAGATGTGGCCTTACTAAGGCTTTATCAAGCATTATGTGATCTTGATTCCATGCCTCTGTTTATACAGCCCAGATTGCATTAGCTTTTGGGGCTGCTGCTGCACACGGCTGGCTCACGGTCAAGTGATCGTCCACTAGGACTCCAAGGTCCCTCCCACAGTTACTGTTTTTGAGCCAGGCGTTGCCTAATCTGGACTTGTACCTGTGGTTTTCCCTGCCCAGGTGTAAAATCTTGCTTTTCTCTACATTAAAATCAAAAACTGAGCCCCTTTCATGTTTGGAGCCACCAAATTAAGGTACAAATTTTGAAACTTGAAAGATTTAAGTTTCAGGTTTCCCAGCTCTTATTAAACCTGATTTTGCGGGCTGGGCTGTTAAACTGTGGTTTACGACAAGATGATCAGTCAGAAAAGAAACTTTATATTATTTGCGGAAAACGTTTATATTTCATTGTCACTTATTCAAATAATAAGAACGGCATTAATTTAAGATTGGCAAAAAGAGAACGTTATTGAAAGAAGAGAAAATCAAGCAAAGCCATAATGTGGACTATAGAATTACAGACATTGTGACTGATTGTTTTTTAAATACTAAACCAGACAACAGGCTGTTTACCAAATATTAAGGTGATTGTGTTAAAAATCAATAAAACATATTTTTTTAAAAATAAACTGGGGGGGAACAACTGTGGGGCCCTTGGTGCTCTCTGAGCTTGGTGGTTTCCTTGCAGACATTTCATTATCCGACTAGAGAATACCATTAGTACTATAATAACAGTACAATAATATCACTAAGCATGGATGATGTTACCTTATTGGGTCATTGAAACTTCTGCAAGGAAACCACCAAGCTCAGAGACCACCAAGGACCCCACCTCCTCCTCCTCCCCCCCTCTGCAAACTCCATTCCCTTCTAACACTGATGATATTACATAGATGGGTAATCAAATGTTTGCGCCAAAGACCTTGAAACTTATGCTGATGTTTTGTCGAGAGGAGAGGAGAGGAGAGGAGGGAAGGGAAGGGAAGAGAAGAGAACATAGAATGGAAGAGAGGAAGAGAAGAGAAGATAGAAGGGAAGGGAAGAGAAGATGGAAGGGAAGGGAAGGCAAAAGAAGAGAAGAGAAGAGAAGATGGAAGGGAAGGGAAGGCAAAAGAAGAGAAGAGAAGAGAAGATGGAAGGGAAGAGAAGAGAAGATGGAAGGGAAGGGAAGGCAAAAGAAGAGAAGAGAAGAGAAGAGAAGAGAAGATGGAAGGGAAGAGAAGAGAAGATGGAAGGGAAGAGAAGAGAAGATGGAAGGGAAGGGAAGGCAAAAGAAGAGAAGAGAAGAGAAGAGAAGAGAAGAGAAGAGAAGAGAAGATGGAAGGGAAGAGAAGAGAAGATGGAAGGGAAGAGAAGAGAAGATGGAAGGGAAGGGAAGGCAAAAGAAGAGAAGAGAAGAGAAGAGAAGATGGAAGGGAAGAGAAGAGAAGATGGAAGGGAAGAGAAGGCAAAAGAAGAGAAGAGAAGATGGAAGGGAAGGGAAGGCAAAAGAAGAGAAGAGAAGATGGAAGGGAAGGGAAGGCAAAAGAAGAGAAGAGAAGAGAAGAGAAGATGGAAGGGAAGAGAAGAGAAGAGAAGATGGAAGGGAAGAGAAGATGGAAGGGAAGGGAAGGCAAAAGAAGAGAAGAGAAGAGAAGAGAAGAGAAGAGAAGAGAAGAGAAGAGAAGAGAAGAGAAGAGAAGAGAAGAGAAGAGAAGATGGAAGGGAAGAGAAGAGAAGAGAAGATGGAAGGGAAGGGAAGGCAAAAGAAGAGAAGAGAAGATGGAAGGGAAGGGAAGGCAAAAGAAGAGAAGAGAAGAGAAGAGAAGGAGAAGAGAAGAGAGAAGAGAAGAGAAGAAGAAGAAGGCAAAAGAAGAGAGAGAGAAGAGAGAAGATGAAGAGAAGAGAAGAAGGAAGAGAAGATGGAAGGGAAGGGAAGGCAAAAGAAGAGAAGAGAAGATGGAAGGGAAGGGAAGGCAAAAGAAGAGAAGAGAAGAGAAGAGAAGATGGAAGGGAAGAGAAGAGAAGAGAAGATGGAAGGGAAGAGAAGATGGAAGGGAAGGGAAGGCAAAAGAAGAGAAGAGAAGAGAAGAGAAGATGGAAGGGAAGAGAAGAGAAGATGGAAGGGAAGGGAAGGCAAAAGAGAAGAGAAGAGAAGATGGAAGAGAAGAGAAGTCCAAGCCAAATCTCTAATGCAAATCCCCCCCCAAAAAAAGTGGGAAGCCGGGAGGGGGGGTGCTGCGTGTCCCAAGGGGAACAGCTTCAAAGGAATTCCCACCAGGCAGGCGAGGCGCAGCGGCCCCCATTGGCAGAACAAATGGAACAAGTCAAGCGAAGCCAAGGAAGCAGAAGGGGAGGGGGCCGGCTCTGCCTGTTTGCGTGTCTTTGTGTGTGTGTGTGTGTGTGTGTGTGTGTGTGTGTGTGTGTGAGCGTGCGTGCGGAAAAAAGCAAGGAATGTGAGCGGAGGATGCTTTAGCGCTGAAAGCGTCCAGAGCCGTCCCGGAGAGAAGAAGGGGGACAAAACTCAAGAGCAACTCTGCAGATCGTGGGGGGGAGGGGGCGTCGGTCCAGCTTGCCCGACATGCTGTGGGTCCCCGCCACGCTCCTGGCCCTGTCCCACCTCAGCTGGGTCCCCTCTGCAGGGGGGCACCCCCTTTCGGTCACCCCGGGACCCTCTCAGAAGATGCTCGGGGACCCCAGGGCCAACGGGACCACCGCCGTGCCCCCGTTGGCCTCAGCTCTGCTTTCCACCGCCGGGGCCAGAGAAGACAAGGGCCCGGGGCCCACGGGGCACCCCGAAATCTCAACCACTCTTCCCAGGCAACCAAGGGACCCGGAGGGGCCACCTTCCACCGGCAGCGCCGCGAGAGGGGGGGTCACCACCACCGAGACCCCGAGGAGCAGCAAAGGTAACTGACTGGCAATGGGAGCTTCAGGCAAAACGGGAGGGGGGGGGTCTTGGAAAAGGGAGGGGGGTTGATGTGGCTTTGTGGGGGGCGGGGGAAGCAGGAGGCAGGGAGAAAGCACCACGCGGAGCTCCGGAGAAAAGGCGCCCGAGAAACGCGATGCGCGCCGTCGGAGGAGAATGTGGGCGAATCCTGAACCGGCCAGCCCTCGTGACAATGGGAATTGTAGTCCCTTGCCTCCGGAGGACCCTCGGGGGTGAGGAGGGGGGGTTCTGATAAGGAACAGGGCAAGAGGGGGACTTGGAGGGAACAATTCTCTGCTTTCCCAAAGATGACCCCAAATCAGAAATTTTTGTTGTCCTGGATGATGAGAGAGGTAGGTTGATAAAGGAGAATCTTGGCAGCTCAGAACTGAAATGGGGGCGACCTGGGTGGTCTCCGAGCTTTGGGGGGTTCCTTGCAGGCATTTCCTTACTTGGCTAGGGGAGGTCACCATCGCTAGGGAAGAGGGGGGTCTGCAGGGAGGAGAGGAGGAGGAGGAGGAGGAAGATGAGGAGGAGGAGGAGGTGGTGCTGGAGGAGGAAGATGAGGAGGAGGAGAAAGATGAGGTGGTGGTGGAGGAGAAAAGAAGGAGGAGGTGGTGGAGGAAGAAGAGGAGGAGGAGGAGACAGGAAGGAGGAAGATGAGGAGGAGGAAGAAAAGGAGGAAGAAGATGAGGAAGAGGTGGTGGTGCTGGAGGAGAAAGATGAGAAGGAGGAAGATGAGGTGGTGGTGGAGGAGAAGAGGAGGAGGAGGAGGAGGAGGAGACAGGAAGGAGGAGGAAGATGAAGAGGAGGAAGAAAAGGAGGAAGAAGAGGAAGAGGTGGTGGTGCTGGAGGAGGAAGATGAGGAGGAAGATGAGGAGGTGGTGGAGGAGAAGAGGAGGAGGTGGTGGAGGAAGAAGAGGGAGGAGACAGGAAGGAGGAAGATGAGGAGGAGGAAGAAAAGGAGGAAGAAGATGAGGAAGTGGTGGTGGAGGAAGATGATGAACATGAGGAGGAAGGTGAGGAGGAGGAGAAAGATGAGGTGGTGGTGGAGGAGAAAAGAAGGAGGAGGTGGTGGAGGAAGAAGATGAGGAAGAGGTGGTGGTGCTGGAGGAGGAAGATGAGGAGAAGGAGGAAGATGAGGTGGTGGTGGAGGAGAAGAGGAGGAGGAGGAGGAGGAGGAGACAGGAAGGAGGAGGAAGATGAAGAGGAGGAGGAAGAAAAGGAGGAAGAAGAGGAAAAGGTGGTGGTGCTGGAGGAGGAAGATGAGGAGAGGAAGATGAGGAGGTGGTGGTGGAGGAGAAGAGGAGGAGGAGGTGGTGGAGGAAGAAGAGGGAGGAGACAGGAAGGAGGAAGATGAGGAGGAGGAAGAAAAGGAGGAAGAAGATGAGGAAGTGGTGGTGGAGGAAGATGATGAACATGAGGAGGAAGGTGAGGAGGAGGAATTTGAGGAAGATGGAGGAGGAGGAGGAGGAGGAGGAGGACTAGGACTGTGGGGTCCTTGATGCCCTCTGAGCTTGATGTTTTGCAGATGTTTCATTACTCCACTAGGTACCATCATCAGTGCTAGGAAGGAGTGGGATTTGAAGGAAGAGGAGGGGGAGGGGAGGGGAGGACGGTGGGACTTGCTGCTCTCTGAACCTGGTGCTTTTCTTGCAGATGTTTCATGACCAAACTAGGTAACCCCATCAATGCTAGGATATTTGTGAATAGAATCCAACCTTCAGGAAGAACTCAAATAAGGACCACAGGAGCCACTGCCCATCTTCCAGGGGAAAGTTGCAAACCCAACTGATGGCGGTCGGGTAGAGCCGAGTGCAAGGCCGGTTCTTTGAGGAGGGGGTCACACCAGCCAGCTTTCATGGCTAAGGCAGATTGGCCCAAAGTTACCCAGCTGGCTTTCATGCCTAAGGCGGGACTAGAACCCACCGTCTCCTGGTGATTGGCCCAAAGTCACCCAACTGGCTTTCATGCTTAAGACAGGACTAGAACTCACCGTCTCCTGGTGATTGGCCCAAAGTCACCCAGCTACCTTTCATGCCTATGGCAGGACTAGAACTCACCGTCTCCTGGTGATTGGCCCAACTCACCGACTCCTGGTGATTGGCCCAAAGTCACCCAGCTGGCTTTCATTCTGAAAGCAGGACTAGAACTCACCATCTCCTGGCTTCGCCCAGCTTAAAGTTGCTGAGTTGGAGAAACACTGATGTAATGAATACATGCAATAATCAATTCAGAGCAGGCTTCCTCCCCCCCTCCCCCCACCCACTAGGGACTCCCAAGTCCAGCTCTGTTCCTCAGACCCTGGAAGGGAAGCAGCTGGGGCAGATGGACCCAGTCCAATCTTGCACAGAGCATCCTTGTCTCCCTGCTTCCCCCCCCACACACACACACAATTGCAGCCCACACAGCTCCCCTCAGCACTGCAAAATGCCTGCTGGGCAATGGCTTCTTTGGGGGGGGGCGGGAAGGGCCGCCATCTCGACTCTCTGGACACTCCGGCTTTCCACAAGCCCTGGAAAAGAATATTGGTGGAATGATACAAGATAAAATCTTAACCTTAAGTGAAATTAAATTGTCTCACCCAACTGCATCTAATGTGTAAGAGAGATAGGCAGTTTCTAAATATAATAGATAGATAGATAGATAGATAGATAGATAGATAGATAGATAGATAGATAGATAGATAGATAGATAGATAAGAGAGAGAAGAGAGAGAGATAGATAGATGAGAGAAGATAGATAGATAGATAGATAGATAGATAGATAGATAGATAGATAGATAGACAGATGAGAGAGAGATAGAGATTGAGATAGATATATAGATAGATAGATAGATAGATAGATAGATAGATAGATAGATAGATAGATAGACAGACATATATATATATAGACAGACAGACAGAGATAGCTAGGTAGATGGATAGATAGTTGATAGATAGACAGATAGAGAGAGAGAGACAGACAGACAGAGATAGATAGATAGATGGATGGATGGATGGATGGATGGATAGATAGATAGATAGATAGATAGATAGATAGATAGATAGATAGATGGATGGATACATAGATGACAGAGAGAGAGAGAGAGATAGACAGACAGATAGAGAGAGAGAGAGAGACACAGACATAGATAGGTAGATGGATAGGGAGATGGATAGGGAGAAAGACAGAGAAAGAGAGAGAGAGAGAGAGAGACAGACGGACAGAAAGATGGATGATAGATGAAGGAAGTAAAAGAAAGTGAGAAAGAAAGAAAAAAGGAAGGAAAGAAAAAAGAAATGAAGGAAAGAGAAAGAAAGAAAGAAAGAAAGAAAGAAAAATCTGGTGTTCTCTCTCTTCATGGGACACCTCTCTCTCTCTCTCTCTCTCTCTCTCTCTCTCTCTCTCTCTCTCTCTCTCTGACACACACACAAACAGACACGCACACATTGACTTTGCTTGTCAGACGGCCGCAAAAGGGGATCCTGGGACACTGCAACCGTCATAAGTATGAGTCAGTTGCCCAGCATCTGACTTTGGATCACCTGACCGCAGGGAGGCTGCGGCTGTCCCAGGTGTGAAAAACGATCATAACTCAAACTTTTTTCCAGTGCTCTTGTAACCTGCAACGGTCACTGCATTAATCGTCGTAAGTCGGGAACTCTCCGTACCTGCGTGCCAGAGGAAGGAAACTGACCTGCTGTGTGGTTTTGCTTTTCCTCCAGCTGCCAAAAAGCATCTCCGGGTCAAAATAGTGAAGAAAAAGATTTTGAAGAAGAAAGCCCAAAAGCTGCTGAATCCGGAAACTGGCACCCAAAGGGCATCAGGTGGGTCCTCGCTGCTCTTTCCATGTCCTCATCCTTCACCGGGGATGTTGCGTAGGCAGATTGTGTCGCCTTGGGGCCTGTAAGTCACCTTCCAGAAAGCTGGACTGCAACTCCCATCATCCCAGGCAGCACCTTTTTGGGGTGGGACGAGGGGCCCGTCTCCTTCGGAGGATGCTTGGGAGGGGAGGGGGCTGCACACCTCTCGGTGGCTGCAGGAGGCCATGTCTGTAGCAACGGCAGAGGAAGCCTTCAGGGGCAGAGTTGCAAAGGAACAGCCTCAGCAAGGCAACATGGCTATGTGAATGCAACCCAGAAGCAGTTCCTCTGCAAAAAAAGGGACACTTACTCTCCCCCCTCCCTGCCTCCTCCTTCCCCACCCCACCCCACCCTTGGAATACTGCATCCAGTTTTGCTCACCACGATGTAAAAAAGATGTTGAGACTCTAGAAAGAGTACAGAGAAGAGCAACAAAGAGGATTAGGGGATTGGAGGCTAAAACATGTAAGGAACGGTTGCAGGAATTGGGTATGTCTAGTTTAACGAAGAGAAGGACAAGGGGGGACATGATAGCAGCCTTCTAGTGTCTCAAGGGCTGCCCCAAAGAAGAGGCAGTCAAGCTATTCTCCAAAGCGCCTGAAGGCAGGATGAGAAGCAACAGGTGGAAACTAATCAAGGAGAGAAGCAACCTAGAACTAAGGAGAAAGTTCCTGACAGTGAGAACAATTAATCAGTGGAACAGCCTGCCTCCAGAAGCGGTGAATGCTCCAACACTGGAAGTTTTTAAGAAGAGACTGGACAGCCATTTGTCCGAAATGGTATAAGGTTTCCTGTTTGAGCAGGGGGTTGGACTAGATGACCTCCAAGGTCCCTTCCAACTTTACTACTACTATCTATCGGTCTTTAGCATCTGCAGCCTGTATCAAGCTTTCTCTGGACCACACGAGGACTAGAAACTTGAGGCTGGATCACTTTGCCGCTTAGATGCCACAGGAGGTGCCTGACAGGGCCCCATCTTATCCCGTGGCCAGTTTGTCCCATGCTTGCATCACTGGTGCCAGGGTCCTACTTATGTATGTGTGTTTGCATGTATGCTTGTATGTATATATGTTTTTATGTATGTGTTTGTTTGTTTGTTTGTTGTTTATTACTCAATTGCTCAACTATCCTGTGAGATGCGTTGGGCTGAAAGGCAGTGAGGGACTGGCCCAAAGTCACCCAGTTGGCTTTCATGCCTAAGGCAAGACTAGAACTCACCGTCTCCTGGTGATCGGCCCAAAGTCTCCCAGCCAGGATTCATGCCTAAGGCAGGACTAGAACTCGCCGTCTCCTGGTGATTGGCCCTAAGTCACCCAGTCAGCTTTCATGCCTAAGGCAGGACTAGAACTCGCCGTCTCCTGGTGATCGGCCCAAAGTTACCCAGCTTTCATTCCTATGGCAGGACTAGAACTCACCACCTCCAGGTGATTGGCCCAAAGTCACCCAGCTGTCTTTCATGCCTAAGGTAGAACTAGAACTCACCACCTCCTGGTGATTGGCTCAAAGTCACCCAGCTATCTTTCATTCCTATGGCAGGACTAGAACTCGCCGTCTCCGGGTGATTGGCCCCAAGTCACCCAGTCAGCTTTCATTCCTATGGCAGGACTAGAACTCACCACCTCCAGGTGATTGGCCCAAAGTCACCCAGCTGTCTTTCATGCCTAGAACTCACCACCTCCTGGTGATTGGCCCAAAGTCACCCAGCTATGCCTAAGGTAGAACTAGAACTCACCACCTCCTGGTGATTGGCTCAAAGTCACCCAGCTATCTTTCATTCCTATGGCAGGACTAGAACTCGCCGTCTCCGGGTGATTGGCCCCAAGTCACCCAGTCAGCTTTCATTCCTATGGCAGGACTAGAACTCACCACCTCCAGGTGATTGGCCCAAAGTCACCCAGCTGTCTTTCATGCCTAAGGTAGAACTAGAACTCACCACCTCCTGGTGATTGGCCCAAAGTCACCCAGCTGGTTTTTGTGCCTAAGGTGGGACTAGAACTCTCTGTCTCCCGGTTGTGAGCCTGGACCCTGAACCAGTCAATCAAACTGGCTCAGACCCAGATGTGGGGGAACGCTCGAACACAGAGCCCAACTGGTTGGGCTAACTCGCTTTTTCAAGTGAGGTTCCAGAACAGCTTCGAGGAGCCCAGAACTTGCGATACTGTCCCGCGCCTGGCCCGTTTTAACTCACTCTCCCACAGCAAGAGAGTCTGATGCTTTCATAGAAAAAAAACAACACACACACACATTTCAAGAACTTGACTTTCTGGGCAAAGGAAAGCCTGAATTTTTAGTTTTTTTTTTCCTCCCCCCCCCCCCCACAAAGGAATACTTGGATTCTCCTATCTCTGGAGGCCACTGGGATCGTCCTTGGAAAGCCGGCTTCAGGGTTTGTTTTCCTTTTGGCTTTCCAGGCTTCTTGTGGCATGGAGTTGTTGAGTTTGGCTGCTGGGGGAAAAGCTGGCAGCCCCAAAGTTGGCTCCAGAAATCTGGAAGTCTTCAGCCTGCCAAAGGGGCAGCCGGTTCTCGCCGAGGGAGGGAGGGAAGAAAGACGCTTTTCACTGGAAGAAAACAAAAAACTCCACAAAAGCAACCGGGGAGAAAACAGCCAGAGGGGGAGGACAGGAGGCCAAGAGGAAAGGCAGCTGTCCCCTACAGATGGGTCTCCCTGTCCATCCCTCCTGCATCCTGTCTCTTTTGTTTTAACCAGTGGGGGAGGGGAAAAGACCAACTTCCTCTTGCATTTTTTAAAAATTGAACCCAACAGGGTGCGTTTCCTGGAAGCCGGCCACAGCAGCATGCATAGGACTCATGGATCTTCCCCTGTATGCTTTCAGAGGAGACTGGAGGAAAGGCAGCTGTGGGACATGGGGGAGAGGGCAGTTGGGGTTCCCTCCAGATTAAGGGCATCCAGTCTGAGCAGCTTTAAGACCAGTTGAATTCTACTCCCAGAATTCCCCACCCAGGCATGGTGCAATGATGGGGAGGGAAGTAGGTGCAACGAACATTCCTTCCTTCCTTCCTTCCTTCCTTCCTTCCTTCCTTCCTTCCTTCCTGTCCTGTATTTACTTACTTCTTTCCTTCTTTCCTGCTTTCCTTCCTTCCTCCCTCCCTCCTGTCTTGTCCTGTATTTCCAAACTCAAATTCCTGATCTGTCCCCTGCAAAATTAAATGCCAGTTCTGCAACATGTCCTGGATTGACAACAATGGCCCCAAGAAAGGATGATGGGCTTTTGGGCATCTCTGTATCAGTGGGTGTGACCACAACGTATTTTTGACGACCTTTTCTTTCTTTTCTTTTCTTTTTTTTTTTTTTTTTTTTTTTTGCTGATGCCAGTTTTGGCCTGTCCTGCAGCTTTTAAAATCTTGGTGACAGGACAAGGAGAGGAGAGGAGAGGAAAGGAAAGGAAAGGGGAAAGGGAAGGGGAAGGGGAAAAGAAAAGAAGGGGGAAAGGGAAAAGGGAAGGGAAGGGAAGAAGAAGGAAAGGGGAGGAGGGGAGGGAAAGGGAGGGGGAGGGAAGGGTAGAGAGAAAAAAGAAAAAGAAAGGAGAGAAAAAGAAAGAGAAAGAAAGAAAAGGGGAAAGAGAAAGAAAGAAGGAAAAGAAAGAGAAGGAAAGAAGAGAAAGAAAGAGAAAGGAAAAGAAGGAAGAGAAAGAAAGGAGGAAAAGAAATAAAGACAGAGAGAGAAAGGAAGGAAGGAAAGAGAAAGAAAGAAAGAAAGGGAAAGAGAAAGAAGGAAAAGAAGGAAGGAAAAGAAATAGAGAGAGAGAGAGAGAGAAAGAGAGAGAGAGAGAGCCGTTTGGCCTGAAAGTGCTGGCTCCGCATATTTCTCCTGGCCCTTGCACAGGACGAGAGGCCCAGGCCAGGATCACGCTGGTCTCCTAAGAATTGTGGTTGGACTCCTCATCTCATTTCAGCCGGGATTTTTATTTTTTTTCGGGGTAGCTGACTCAGCTGTGCCTCGTGCGAGAAATAGTTGTGCGATTATAATTAAAAGCCAGCAGAGGAGCGCACTGACACTCCACACACTGGAGTCTCCTCCTTGGGACCTGGAATTCGCTCCCCTTCTCATTTCTCTGTTGATCTCCCAGCTCGATGATTTTGACAAATAACAAAAGACGACAACACACCTTCCTCCTATTTTCCCCACAACCACAACCCTGCGAGGTGGGCTGGGCTGAAAGAGAGAATGATTGCCACAGAGTCACTCAGCCGTCTTTCATTCCTAAGGCGGGACTAGAACTCACCGTCTCCTGGTGATTGGCCCAAAGTCACCCAGTTGGCTTTCATGCCTGAGTCAGGACTAGAACTCACCGTCTCCCAGTGATTGGCCCAAAGTCACCCAGTTAGTTTTCATGCCTAAGGCAGGACTAGAACTCACCATCTCTTGGTGATTGGCCCAAAGTCACTCAGCCGTCTTTCACTCCTAAGACGGGACTAGAATTCACCATCTCCTGGTGACTGGCCCAGAGTAAAATGGGGCAAAACTCACTTAGCAAAGCAACAATTTTGGGCTCAGCTGTGGTCATAAGTTGGGGACCACCGGTACTAATCCAAGTCATCCTTTGGGGAGGTCTTGTTAGGTATCCAGAAGACCCTCCAGCCTCTGTTTGAAGAACTCCAGCCAAGGAGAAAGCACCGTGTGGCAGCATGGCCCACTGGTTATAGCTCCACTGGACCCAAGTGGACCTTGAGTGGAGAGCAAAACATCTCATATGGAAAGAAATAAAATATAGAATAGAATAGAATAGAATAGAAAATAGAATAGAATAGAAAATAGAATAAAGTAGAAAATAGAATAGAATAGAACAGCGGTTCTCAACCTATGGGTCGCGACCCCATTTGGGGTCGATCGACCTCTTTTGTGGGGTCGCCAAACGCGGCGATCCGCCATTTTGTCCCCTCCGGGGGCGCGGCGCGCCTCCAGGGGGCGGTGCCGCGCACGCGCGCCGCGCATGGGGGCGGCGGCGCGCCTCCGGGGGGCGCCACCGCGCATGCGTGCCGCGAGTGGGGGCGGCGGCGCGCCTCCGGGGGGCACCACCGCGCATGCGCGCCGCGCCTCCGGGGGGTGGCGCCGTGCATGCGCGCCACGCGCGGGGGTGGCGCTGCGCATGCGCGCCGCGCGCGGGGGCCCCGCCCCCATGCGCGGCCGCGCCGCGCATGCGCACAACGTTTGTGTGACGGGGTCGCCGTCACACAAACGTTGAGAACCGCTGGAATAGAATAAAGAATGGGATAGGATAGAATAGAATACAATAGAATAAGAAATAAGACTAGAATAGAATAAAGACTAGAATAGAATAGAATAAGAAATAAGAATAGAATAGAATAAAGAATAGAATAGAATAGGAAAGAACAGAAAATAGAATAGACATTAGAATAGAAATTAGAATAGAATAGAAAATAATAGAATCAAATAGAAATTAGAATAGAAAATAATAAAATAGAACAGAACAGAACAGAATAGAAATTAGAACAGAACAGAATAGCATAGTTGAAAGGGACCTTGGAGGTCATCTAGTCCAACCCCTGCTCAGGCAGGAAACCCTATACCATTTCGGACAAATGGATGTCCAGTCTCTTCTTAAAAACCTCCAGTGATGGAGCATTCACCACTTCTGGAGGCAAAACCCAAAACCTCTGATGAAGGGCAAAGCGAGGGAGGGGGATCTCTGGGGAGGGGGCTCTCCCTGAGTTGATTGGGTCTCCTGCCCACCCAACCCACCTCTCTCCTTCCTCCCTTCTTCTCCAAGCAGAATGCCCTCCGTTGGGACTCGAGTCTCTGAGGGTGCGGGACTCCCAACTACGAGCTTCCAGCTCCAAGCGGGACGGACTCGGGCCCCACCGCGGGCGCCTGAACATCCAGGTAAGGCTGCATCTTTCAGGGCCACCATCGTTGGGAGTACACACCACAAGTTCTGGGATCCAGTGTGCTCTTGGCCTGCAGGAGGAACCACCACGTCACCGAAGGACAGAATAACAAGAGTCGGAAGGGACCTCAGAGGTCTCCTAGTCAAGCCCCCTGCTTGAGCAGGAGACCCTAGACCAGGGGTAGGCAACCTTGGCTCTTTTATGACTCGTGGACTTCAACTCCCAGAATTCCTGAGCCAGCATGGCTCAGCTTGGAAACTTCTCCCTTTCCCCTCAGCATGGCTGGCTCAGGAATTCTGGGAGTTGAAGTCCACAAGTCATAAAAGAGCCAAGCTTGCCTACCTCTGGCCTAGGCCTAGGCCCCTTCATGACTCGTGGACTTCAACTCCCAGAATTCCTCAGCCAGAATGGGGGTACTATGGCCCCTTCATGACTGGTGGACTTCAACTCCCAGAATTCCTGAGCCAACATACCTCAGCTTGGAAACCTCTCTTTCCCCTCAGCATGGCTGGCTCAGGAATTCTGGGAGTTGAAGTCCACAAGTCATAAATGAGCCCAGGTTGCCTAGCCCTGGCCTAGCCCCCTTCATGACTCTGAACTTCAACTCCCAGAATTCCTGAGCCAGCATGGCTCAGCTTGGAAATTTCTTCCTTTCCCCTCAGCATGGCTGGCTCAGGAATTCTGGGAGTTGAAGTCCACCAGTCATAAAAGAGCCAAGGTGGCCTACCCCTGGCCCTAGATCATTTCAGACAAGTAACTGTCCAACCTCTTCTTAAAAATCTCCAGTGTTGGAGCACCCACAACTCCTGATGGCAAGCCCCTTCCAAACCTGTTATTCTGGTATCTAAAATGAGCAAGGGGTTGGACTAGATGACCTCCAAGGCCCCTTCCAAACCTGTTATTCTGGTATCTAAAATGAGCAAGGGGTTGGACTAGATGACCTCCAAGGCCCCTTCCAAACCTGCTATTCTGGTATCTAAAATGAGCAAGGGGTTGGACTAGATGACCTCCGAGGCCCCTTCCAAACCTGTTATCTAAAATGGCGGAGGATCTCCTGCTTGAGCAGAGGGCTTGGACTAGATGACCTCCCAGGCCCCTTCCAGCTCTCTTATTCTGTTATTCTGTTACCTAAAAGGGCCGAGCGTCTCCTGCCTGAGCAGGGGGTTGGACTAGATGACCTCCTGCCTCTTCCCCCGTTCGTCGTAGCCGCACACGCTTCTCCGCCAAGGCAGCGAAAATATAAAAGGTTCCTCGAACCCGGTCCGCTTCCAGAAGAAAGGAATCTGGCATCCGTCCTTTGTGGCAGTGGGAGAAACGGGGAGGGGAGCAGTGGGGTGAAATGGGCTGCAGGGTGAGGGAGGAGGAGGGAGGAAGTTCTGGGAAGTCAGGAGGATTAAGCCCCTGCGGGCTGGAAAGTACAGTCCCCACCCCAACGCTCCGGCGGGAATTTGCAAAGCTCTCTCTCTCTCTCTTGGATGATTCCCCTGGAAAAGGGCCGAGTTCCCTGGAAAAGGATTCCCTGGAGGAGCTGGTCGTTAAGCAGCCCCGCCTCTGAAGCCCTGGGCTTGGTCCCAAGGTGAGGACCTCAAGGTTCCTCGGCATCACAAAGAGCGATTTGCTGTGACGGAGACGTCCTGTGGGAGGGGGGCTCGGAAACTTTGGGGGTCTCTTTACCCACCTTTCTCTCTTAAGGGAGGAGATCAAACACAGCCAGAATGAAAAAAGATCTCCTCTTCCTCCTCCTCCATTTTCTTCTCCCACCTTCTTCGTCCTTCATTCCTTTCTCCTTCTCCTCCTCCATTTTTTCTCCCCTTCCTCCATCCCTTTCTCTTCCTCCTCCATCCCTTTCTCCTTCTCCTCCATTTTTTCTCCCCTTCATCCCTTTCTCTTCCTCCTCCATCCCTTTCTCCTTCTTCTCCTCCATTTTTTCTCCCCTTCATCCCTTTCTCTTCCTCCTCCATCCCTTTCTCCTTCTTCTCCATTTTTCTCCCCTTCCTCCATCCCTTTCTCTTCCTCCTCCATCCCTTTCTCCTTCTCTATTTTCTTCTTCCCCTTCCTCCATCCCTCTTTCTCCTCCTCCTCCTTTCTCCTTCTCTATTTTTTCTCCCCTTCCTCCATCCCTTTCTCTTCCTACTCCATCCTTTTCTCCTTCTTCTCCTCTATTTTTTCTTCCCCTTCCTCCTCCATCCCTTTCTCTATTTTCTTCTTCCCCTTCCTCCATCCCTCCTCCTCCTCCTCCTCCTCCTCCTCCTCCTCCTCCTCCTCCTCCTCCTCCATCCCTTTCTCCTTCTTGCTGGCTGAGGAATTCTAGGAGTTGAAGTCCACAAGTCTTAAAGTGACCAAGGTTCAACCATACTGTTCCCTCTGCTCGGCTTTCCTTTCTTTCGAATTATTCATTCTTCGATCCTCGGGAATTAAATACAAAACAGTAAAACCAAACGAAACGAAGCAAAAGAAAAGAGTACGTTCAACCCTAACGACAACGACGGGAAAAAAAATAGCATACAAAAAAAAAGAAGAAAAGAAGAGGGGTCCATTCAATTTAAGTTCTTGCATGATATGTGTCTGCTCCCTTTTTTTTTCGCTTACGCCAGTCTGGAATTCATGACGGCGATTTGTACGACGGAGGCTGGTGTGCCGGATACGACGACAAAGATCAGTGGCTGGAGATTTATGCCAGGCGACTGACACGCTTCACCGGGGTGATCACCCAGGGACTCAACTCCATCTGGACGTAAGTGTCGCGCCGAGGCTGGGAGAAGCAACCATCCGCTGCAGCCAGATAAGCAGGGTGGGCTTTTCCAAATTTTGACACCCCGACAGCGATGGGATTCATCTGCCTGAACAACTGGTTCTCTGCATGGATGCAGGCCTGGGCATCTCGGCCTAGACAGACTTCCGGAAGTGGCATCCATGCACTTCCGGCAGGCCGTTCAAGGCCTGGGAAGCCGCCTCCGAGGCCTAAAACGGACTTCCAGAAGTGGCATCCACGCACTTCTGGCAGGCCGTTCAAGGCATGGGAAGCCTTCTCCAGGCCTCCAAGGCCTAAAATGGACTTCCGCAAGTGGCATCCACGGACTTCCGGCAGGCCGTTCAAGGCCTGGGAAGCCTACTCCAGGCCTCCGAGGCCTAAAATGGACTTCCGGAAGTGGCATCCATGCACTTCCGGCAGGCCGTTCAAGGCATGGGAAGCCTTCTCCAGGCCTCCAAGGCCTAAAATGGACTTCCGGAAGTGGCATCCATGGACTTCCGGCAGGCCGTTCAAGGCCTGGGAAGCCTCCTCCAGGCCTCCGAGGCCTAAAGGACTTCCAGAAGTGGCATCCACGCACTTCCGGCAGGCCGTTCAAGGCCTGGGAAGCCTCCTCCAGGCCTCCGAGGCCTAAAATGGACTTCCGGAAGTGGCATCCACGCACTTCCGGCAGGCCGTTCAAGGCATGGGAAGCCTCCTCCAGGCCTCCGAAGCCTAGAACGGACTTCCGGAAGTGGCATCCACACACTTCCAGTGGGCCATTGAAGGCCTCCTCCAGGCCTCCAAGACCTAGAACACACTTCCAAAAATGGTGTGCATTCAGCTGGTTCTCTGAACTCAACAAAATTTAACTACCGGTTCTGCTGAACCGGTGAGAACCAGCTGAACCCCACCCGAGCCCCAAAGGTTGGCTATCACAGGGCTTAGGTAATACATGGGAAGGGGTGGCCTGGGATGGAAACTAATCAAGGAGAGATCCAGCCTAAAAGGAAGGAGGAATTTCCTAACAGGGAGAACAATTAACCCGTGGAACGACTTGCCACCAGAAGTTGTGGGTGCTCCATCACTAGAGGTTTTGAAGAAGAAACTGGGCAGCCACTTGTCTGAAATGGCACAGGGTCTCCTGCTTGAGCAGGGGGCTGGACTAGAAGACCACCCAGGTCCCTTCCAACTCTGTTATTCTGGGATGGAGCATGTTGTGGAAGCATTGTCTTAACACAGTGGTTCTCAACCTGTGGGCCGGGACTCCATTTGGGGTCGAACGACCATTTCACGGGGGTCGCCAAACAACGCAGTCCGCCATTTTTTTCCCCTTTTCCTTAGCTGTGCTACTCCCTTTTATTCTATTGGCTTTTGAAAGCCAATAAAATAGACTCTCTTGAATAGAGTCTAATTCTATTGGCTTTCAAAAGCCAATAGTAATTGTCCAGGCTGTGTCTGCTCTGCTAAGCCCGCCAAAAGTCCCATTCTGCAAACGGGGCTGCACCAGTTGAGTAGTCCTTGACTTATGAACGATTGAGTAGTCCTCGACTTACGACCGGTTGGGGGTCGCGGCATTAAAAAGGTTGAGAACCACTGTCTTAACATAATGTGTGAACCACCTTTTCTTGCTAAGTCATCCTACCGCAACTCAGCCCAAAATGTCTGTTGCTAAGTGAGACATTTTGCCAAGTGAGCTTTGCCCCGTTTTACGACCTTCGTTGTCACAGTTGTTAAGTGAGTCCCCGCAATTGTTAAGTTAGTAACACAGTTGTTTGGGGAATCTGGTTTCCCCAGTGATGTCAGCAGCGTCCTGGGCGGGGTCAACGTGATCCTCTGACAAGCAAAGCCAATGGGGGAAGCCCAGTTCGTTTAACAACTGCGTGACTCGCTTAATAATTGCGATGATTCACTTAACAACAGAGGCGAGGCAGGTCGTAAAATGGGGCAAACTCACTTAACAACTGCCTCGCTTAGCAACAGACATTTTGGGTTGAATTGTGGTCGTTAAGTCGAGGACTACCTATAATGGGCGGGCTCCATTACAGTCATTGGTCGGGGTGTAGCCTGGACCCTGAAGAAAACCGTAGCTGAGATCCTCAGGATGATGGGAGTTTACCTGGGAGAGAATAGACGCGGGATGAAGGAGCAAGGTAGAGAAACCCGAGTGCGAATCCTCTCCTTGCCCTCTCCCTGGCCTGTCTCAAACCGCCCATTTCTGTTCTCCAGTTACAGCTGGGTGACTTCGTACAAGATCCAGTTTAGCAACGATACTCATCGCTGGCAGCCTTGCAGAAACGGGAGCCAAGAGGTGGTAAGTCCAGGGGCGTCCTAAGCAAGCCACGATGGGCTGCTTCGAGAGTTATGTGCAGGTGTACCGGGGGGGGGGGGTAGTCTCATATATCCTATTATATTCTATTCCATTCCATTCCATATTTTCTATGCTATTCTATTCCATATTTTCTATTCTATTCTATTCTGTTCTATTCTACACTCTATTCTATTCTACTCTACACTATACTTATTCTATTCTACTCTACATTCTACTCTATTCTATTCTATACTCTACTTTACTCTATTCTATTCTATATTCTACACTTTATTCTACTCTACACTATTCTACTTTACTCTACACTCTGTTCTACTCTATTCTATTCTACTCTACACTTTACTCTACTCTACTCTACTCCACACTCCACTACACTCTATTTCTATTCTATTCTATTCTATTCTATTCCTTATTCTATTCTATTCTGTACTATTCTGTTCTATTCTATTCCTTATTCTATTCTACACTCTATTCTATTCTAGTCTACTCTATTTTACTCTACACTCTATTCTGTTCTATACTCTACACTTTACTCTACTCTATTCTACTCTACACTCTACTCTACTCTACACTGTTCCACTCTACACTCTACTCTACTCTACACTACACTCTATTTCTATTCTATTCTATTCTATTCTATCATTATTCTATCTTATCCTATCCTATCCTATTCATTCTTCCAGATCTTCCCAGCCAACAAGGAACCAGAGACTCCCATCCTCAACCTGCTGCCAGACCCCGTCGTGGCACGCTACATCCGGATCAATCCTCAAACCTGGTTTGAGAACGGGACCATCTGCTTAAGGGTCGAAATTCTGGGATGTGCCCTGCCAGGTAGGCCCATAAGGGGATTGCTGTGTGTGTGTGTTGGAGGGGTGAGACTCTCAGCTACCTGTCCTCACCTTGGTTTCCTGTGGGGTCCAAACTGCCCAGAACCAATACAGATAGTCCTCGGCTTACAACAGTTCAGTTAACAACCGTTCAATGTTACAACGGCACCAAAAAAAGCAATTTAGGACAGTTTTCCCCCACTGACGACCGTTGCAGTATAGCCACGGTCGCGTGATCAAACTTCAAACGCTTGGCAGGCTGATTCATATTTGCGACAGTGGCCCTGCCCCCGGGGTCACGTGACCAATTTTTGCAACCTTCCAACAAGTGAACGGGGAAAAAAAACAAATGCACAGGTGTAGTACTATAGGTGGAACCTTGCTCAATAGCAGCAACTGTGAGAGGGATATTATTATTATTATTATTATTATTATTTCTATTCTGCTCTGCTCTGCTCTATTCTTTCTATTTCTACTCTTATTCTTTCCTGTTTTTATTTCTATTCTGTTCTGTTCTATTCTACTCTATTTCCATTCTTATTCTTTCCTATTCTTATTTCTATTCGGCTCGGCTCGGCTCCCCTCCGTTCCATTCCCAGTTTTAATTCACGCATCCTGTGTTTCTTTCCAGATCCCAACAACATTTATCCGTGGGAACACATACCTGGCACCAACGATAAATTGGATTTTAGGCATCACAACTACAAAGAGATGAGGAAGGTGCGTTCTTTCTTGTGTGAAGTTCAAGGGTTCAAGCTCTTCATTAATTCTCTTAGAAAAGGATTATCGAAGTATTCAAGAACCAGGGAAGAATTACGTTGACCAGCTTGCTGGCACAAACTGGGCCAGAATTTGACAGATCTTCCAATTTAGATATCAATAGATATAATATAAATCCTTGGTAAGGCCACACCTGGAATACAGCATCCAGAAAAGATGCTGAGACTTTGGAAAAAGTGCAGAGAAGAGCAACAAATTTGATTAAGACAAAAGTATACGAAGAACGGTTGCAGGAATTGGGTAAGGCCAGTCTAGAGAAAAAGAAGGACCAGGAGGGACAGGATAAAAAGTCTTCCAGTATCTCAGGGGCTGCCCCAAAGAAGAGGGAGTCAAGCTATCCTCCAAAGCCCCTGAAGGCAGGACAAGAAGCAACGGGTGGAAACTAATCAAGGAGAGAAGCAACCTAGAACTAAGGAGAAACTTCCTGACAGCGAGAACAATTAACCAGTGGAACAACCTGCCTCCAGAGGTTGTGGGTGTTTCATCACTGGAGTTTTTTTTTTAACATTGGCAGTGGTCCACTAAACAACTGTGGCAAGAAAAGTCGTAAAATGGGGCAAACTGTCTCACTTGGCGACAAAAATATTGGGTTGTAAGTCGGGGACTCCTGTAGTTTTTAAAAAAGCAGTTTTGCCTTAAATATTCAGAATAGAATAGAATAGAATAAATACTGGGGAATAGAATGGAATGGAATAGAATAGAATAATAGAATAGAATAGAACGGAATGGAATAGAATAGAAAATGGAAGAATAGAATAGAATATTGGAGAATGGAATGGAATAGAATAGAATAGAATAAATATTGGGGAATAGAATAGAATGGAATGGAATAGAATGCAATGGAATAAAATAGAATAGAATAGAAAATGGAAGAATAGAATAGAATGGAATAGGATAGGATAGCATAGGATAGGATAGCATAGGATAGGATAGAACTGGAAGGGACCTTGGAGGTCTTCTAGTCCAGCCCCCTGCTCGAACAGGAGAACCTATACCATTTTACACAAGTGACTGTCTGTTTAAAATGTCTTGATTTTTTAGTGACCAGTTTAAACATCACACCAGCAAATTAACTCCCCCCCCCATTTTTTTTTATTTTAACATCCAGATTTTAGATTCCTAGGAGAGCAAAAAAAACTTGCCTGGGTCATCCCTTTATACCTCTTTTTTCTCTGCCCTGAAAGGGAGGGAAGGATCCTAGCCAATCACCATTGACTCTTCAACTTCAGAGGTTTTAATTTATTGAGAAATTTAATTCTCTCCCGGCAGCTGATGAAAAACGTCAGCGACACGTGTCCGGATATCACAAGGATATACAGCATCGGGAAAAGTTACCTGGGCCTGAAAATGTACGTCATGGAGATTTCAGACAACCCCGGGCAGCACGAAGTAGGTGAGCGACATCGCGGGAGGCTCTCTCTGTTTTGCAGGAAGAGTGTTTGATTGGAGTTTGGCTGCGGAAGACGGGAATCGTGGCTTGTTTCCGTTAAGAAGCAGGTTCTCTGCCAATTGGGTCCAAGAATCTATCTAGTTCAGCGGTTCTCAACCTTGACCATTTTAAGGCATGTGGACTTCAACTCCCAGAATTCCACAGCCAGCAATGCTGCCTGTGGAATTCTGGGAGTTGAAGTCCACATGCCTTAAAATGGTTAAGGTTGAGAAACACTGACTCTAATTTATCCAGTGTTTCTCAACCTGGCAAGCTGGGTGGACCAACTCCCAGAATTCCCCAGCCGGCCTCGCGACCTCTCTTGCTTGCTTAGCGTTTCTCAACCTGGGCAAGCGGAAGATGGGTGGACTTCAACTCCCAGAATTCCCTGGCCAGCAAAAGAATCCTGGGAGTCAAAGTCCCCCCGTCTTTCTACTGCTTGCGCGAGGTTCACGAAACAGACTGCTGTTATCCCTGTCCCAAGATTTGGGGGCTCCCCCAATGGGGCCCTTGGATCCCTCCAGAAACCCCCACCCAGCAGGTGATCCCTCTGCCGTTGCAGGAGAGCCGGAGTTCCGCTACGTGGCCGGCATGCACGGGAACGAGGCGCTGGGCCGGGAGCTGGTGCTCAACCTGATGGAGTATCTCTGCCAGGAATACAGGCAGGGCAACCCTCGCGTCCGGAGGCTGGTCACCGAGACCCGAATCCACCTGATGCCCTCCATGAACCCGGACGGTTACGAGACGGCCTACAAGCTGGTGGGTGGCACCGTGTGTGTGTGTGTGTGTGTGTGTGTGTGTGTGTGTGTTTCCCCCCCCCCGTGCTGTTTAGGAAGCAAACCTTGTCTGAATCGAAAGGGGGGGGGAAGGGTAGCTAGAAGATCTTTCTTTTTTTTCTTTCTCTTTCTTTTGCTTTCTTCTTTCTTGCTTTCCTTCCTCCCCTTTTCTTTTCCTTCCTTCCTCCCTTTTTCTTTTCCTCCCTCCCTCCCTCCCTCTCTCCCTCCTACTTCCTCCCTTCCTGATTCCTTCCTTTCTTTTCTTTTTTCTTTCTTTTCCTTCCTTCCTTCCTTTTTCTTTCTCTCTTCCTCCCACTTTTTCTTTTCCTTCCTTCCTCCCTCTCTCCCTCCTACTTCCTCCCTTCCTGATTCCTTCCTTCCTTTTTCTTTTCTTTTTTTCTTTCTTTTCCTTCCTTCCTTCCTCCTTCCTTTTTCTTTCTCACTTCCTCCCTCTTTTTCTTTTCCTTCCTTCCTCCCTCCCTCTCTCCCTCCGACTTCCTCCCTGATTCTTTCCTTTCTCTTTTCTTTTTTTTCTTTTCCTTCCTTCCTCGTTTTTCTTTGTCTCTTCCTCCCTTTTTCTTTTCCTTCCTTCCTCTCTCCCTCCCCTCCTACTAACTCCCTCCCTGATTCCTTCCGTTCTCTCTCTTCTGTTTTCTTTCTTTTTCTTCCTTCCTTCTTCCTTTTGTTTCTCCCTCTTTTCCCCTCCCACCTTCCTCCCTCCTTGCTTCCTTATGTCTCTCCCTTCCTTCCTTTTTCCTTCCTTTCTTTGTTCGTCCCTCCCTCCCTCCTTCCTCACTGCTTTCTTTCTTTCTTTCTTTCTTTCTTTCTTTCTTTCTTTCTTCCTTTCTTCTTTCCTTCCTTCCTTCATCTTTCTTTTCCTTCCTTCCTTCATTCATCCATCCTTCTCTTCCTCTTTCCTCACTGCTTCCTTCCTTCATCTTTCTTTTCCTTCCTTCCTTCCCAGTTAAAAACTTTACACTTTAGCCCCCACTCTAACCCCCACTCTGTGGCACCAACAACAGAATCAATCTGCTCCGAATGGGTCCCCAGCCCCACTGAACCAAACCAGCCTTCAAAGCTTTGCGGAAAAGCAGCCAGGCTGTCGGTCGCCAATCTGATCTCTGGGGAAGGACCTTCCATAGGGAGGGAGCCACCACCGAGAAGACCCCTTTCCCAGGTCCCTCCAGAATGGACTACCTTGGTAGCTGTGACCCACAACATATCCCGCTTTGGGAAGGAAGTTATAATTGGGGAGTGGATCACCGATCTTCCCGGGCCGGTCCATCCAGGGGGCACCGAGCGGGCTCTCCATCCCCTCCTTTCTCTGGCGACTCTGCAGGGCTCGGAGCTGTCCGGCTGGGCACTGGGCCGATGGACGTACGAAGGCTTTGATCTCAACCACAACTTTGCTGATCTCAACACGGACCTTTGGGACGCCGAGGATCTCCAGCTGGTCCCCCACCAGTTCCCCAACCACTACATCCCCATCCCGGAGGCGTACACCTTCCCTAACGCCACGGTGAGCCCCACCCCAGTGCCCCCTGGGCGGTGGGTTGCCCACCATGCCCAGCTCCCTCTATCTTGGAATCTCTACTCCTCCCCTCACCCCCATTTCAAGCCAGGAACTGCAACCGAGCAATTGGACACGGGCAATCCTCGACTTACGACCCAAACATTTCCATTGCTAAGCGAGACAGCATTTCAGTGAATTTCCCTTCCCCCCCCCATTTTACCACCTCCCTTGCCGCAGGAAACACTGCCATTGTTAACTTAGTCACACGGTCGTTAAGCGAACCCGGCTTCCCCCACTGACTTGGCTTGTCAGAAGGTCGCAAAAGGGGATCGCGTGACCCCGGGCGACGCTGCGACCGTCATAAATACGAGTCAGCCAAGCGTCTGAATTTTGATCGTGTCACCCTGGGGAATGCTGCGATGGTTGTAAATGTGAAACATGGCCCTTAGTGCCGTTGTAAATTCGGTCACTAAGCAAACCGTTGTAAGTCGAGGACTAACTATAAAAGCAACCCACGGGGGCCGAACAGGGAAAACCGAAGGATGTGACCCACGGGCCATAAAATGCCCTGTAATAGCGATCTTCAAGCTTGGTTTACTTTAAGATTTGTGGACTTCCACTCCCAGAATTCCTCAGCCAGCCACTTTACGACTTGTGGACTTCGACTCCCAGAATTCCTCAGCCAGGCACGCTGGCTGAGGAATTCTGGGAGTCGAAGTCCACAAGTCATCAAAGGGCCAAGTTTGAAGACCCCTGATATAGACTTTAAGAGGAGCGGACTTCAACTCCCAGAATTCCCCAGCCCGCATGGCTGACTGAGAAATTCTGGGAGTTGAAGTCCACAAGTCATCAAAGGGCCAAGTTTGAAGACCCCTGATATATAGACTTTAAGAGGAGTGTACTTCAACTCCCAGAATTCCTCAGCCAGCGTGCCTGGCTGAGGAATTCTGGGAGTTGAAGTCCACAAGTCGTAAAGGGGCCAAGCTTGGAGACCCCTGCCCTAAAGGGAGGGCATCTCTGCTTTGGCTCATCCGAAACGGGTTTTTTTCCCTGCCAAGGTTGCCCCAGAAACGCGGGCGGTTATCAGCTGGATGCAGCGCTACCCCTTTGTGCTGAGTGCCAACCTACACGGAGGGGAGCTGGTGGTGACCTACCCCTTCGACATGACCCGCACCTACTGGAAAGCCCAGGAGTTGACCCCCACCGCCGACGACGCCATCTTCCGATGGCTGGCCACCGTCTACGCCACCTCCAACCTGGTGATGGTGGACGACGAACGGCGGATGTGCCACTATGAGGACTTCATGCAGGAGGGCAACATCATCAATGGAGCCAACTGGCACACCGTGCCGGGAAGTAGGTGAACGGGGCCGTCCTCCATGGGGACTAGGGGTAAACTAAGCAGACTAGCATTAAGCAAAGGGCTGGAGAAACGGACGGGGCAAAATCCTTGCCGAAGCAGAACTAGAACACACCGTCTCCCTGTGATTGGCTCAAAGTCACCCAGACGCCTTTCATGCTAAAGGCAAGACTAGAACTCCCTTCCTCCTGGTTGATTGGCCCAAAGTCAGCCAGTCGGCTTACGTGCCTAAGGAGGGACTAGAACTCACCGTCTCCTGGTGATTGGCCCAAAGTCAGCCAGCCGGCTTACGTGCCTAAGGAGGGACTAGAACTCACCGTCTCCCGGTGATTGGCCCAAAGTCACCCAGACGGCTTTCATGCTTAAGGTGGAACTAGAATTCACCGTCTCCTGGTGATTAGTCCAAAGTCACCCAGCCGACTAAGGTGGGACTAGAACTCACCATCTCCTGGTGATTAGTCCAAAGTCACCCAGCCAGCTTTCATACCTAAGGCGGAACTAGAACTCACAGTCTCCTGGTGATTGGCCCAAAGTCACCCAGCCAGCTTTCATGCCTAAGGCGGAACTAGAACTCACCATCTCCTGGTGATTGGCCCAAAGTCACCCAGTTGGCTTTCATGCCTAAGGTGGAACTAGAATTCACCGTCTTCTGGTGATTGGCCCAAAGTCACCCAGCCGGCTTTCACACCTAAGGCGGGACTAGAACTCCCCGTCTCCTGGTGATTAGTCCAAAGTCACCCAGCCAGCTTTCATGCCTAAGGCGGAACTAGAACTCACCGTCTCCTGGTGACTCACTCAAAGTCACCCAGCCAGCTTTCATGCCTACGGCCGAACTAGAACTCACCGTCTCCCGATTTCTAGGTCAGTACTTTAGCCACTGCACCAAACTGGCTCTCTTCGTATCACTTGTGGGTTGGGATCCTCCGGGGTCAAAGTGAGGTCTGCTCAGGTCCTCTTCCCTGCAGGTATGAACGACTTCAGCTACCTGCACACCAACTGCTTTGAGGTGACCATCGAGCTGTCCTGCGACAAATTCCCCCACGAATCGGAGCTCCCGCAGGAGTGGGAGAACAACAAGGAATCCCTGTTGCTGTACATGGAACAGGTGAGGATCGCCGGTCCCTTCCCCCGGGACTCAGTTCGGGATCCTGTGGCAAGATCCAAACTCTGATCAATCCTTTGGGAGATCCGGCCACGGGGGATCATCTCAGCAGCCCGGTCCTTGCATGTAACCAGATGTCTCCTTCCAGGTCCACCGAGGGATTAAGGGGATCGTCCGGGATAAAGACACGGAGCGAGGCATTGCCGATGCCATCATTTCTGTGGACGGCATCAACCATGACATCAGGACAGGTAAACCAAAAGCCATGGCGCAGCCCACGTGGGCAGCTGATGCCACAGCTCCCGAGTAACTCCTCTTTAATTGACTAATACAGGAGAATATTTGTAGCTCGTGGTTGAATTGAGGGGGTCCTTGGTGCTCTCTGAGCGGGGCAGTTTCCTTGCAGACATTTCATGACCCAACTAGGTAATGTCATCAGTGCTGTTCAACATTACTGATGATGTTACCTAACACCTGGAAGAAAACTGCACCAAGGACTCCACAGTCCCTCCTCCTCCTCCTCCTCCTCCTCCTCCTCCTCCACCACCACCACCATCTCTCTGCAAACCCCACTCCCTTCTAGCACTGACCAAAGTGAAAGTTCCCTGATCAAGCAGTTCCCTAATTAGGTAGTTCCCTAATCAAGGAGAAAACCACACACACCTCCAACACTGGCAGGGCAAGTTACTATACACAAGCGGAGCAAAGCCCACACTCACTAGCGCTGATGATGTTCTCTAGTTGGATAATGCAATTTCTGTGAGTAAGCCACCAAGGTCAGAAAGCACAAGGGACCCCACAGTCGTCTTCTTCTTCTTCTTCTTCTTCTTCTTCTTCTTCTTCTTCTTCTTCTTCTTCTTCTTCTTCTTCCTCCTCCTCCTCTTCCTCCTCCTCCTCCTCTCCACAAACCCACTCCCTTCTAGCACTGATCATATTCCCTAGTTGGGTAATGCAAGGTCTGCGAGAAAACCACCATCAGAGAGCATCAAGAACCCTACATTTTTCTCCTCCTCCTCACCTTCCTCCTCATGTTCGTCATCTTCCTCCACCACCACCACCACTTCCTCATCTTCTTCCTCCTTTTCTCCCTCCTCCTCATTTTCCTCCTCCAGCACCACCACCTCTTCCTCCTTCTTTTCCTCCTCCTCCTCCACCACCTCTTCCTCTTCCTCCTCACCTTCCTCCTCATGTTCGTCATCTTCCTCCACCTCCACCACCACCACCACTTCATCTTCTTCCTCCTTTTCTTCCTCCTCTTCATCTTCCTCCTCCTTCCCGTCTCCTTCTCCTCCACCTCCTCCTCCTCCTCCTCCTCCTCCTCTCCACAAGCCCATTCCCTTCTAGCACTGATCATATTCCCTAGTTGGGTAATGCAAGGTCTGCAAAAAAGCAAGCAAGCTCAGAGAGCACCAGGGAACTCTCTTCCATTTCTCCACTGACAGCTTTCGATGGGGACTACTGGCGCCTGCTCAACCCCGGCGAATACGAGGTGACCGCTGCGGCCGAGGGCTACCACCCCGTCACCCGAACCTGCCACGTCTCTTACGAGAACAGCGCCACCCTCTGCGACTTCCGCCTGACCAAGACCCCCAAGCAGCGTCTGCGGGAGATCCTGGCCAAGGGCGGGAAGGTGCCCAAGGACCTCGTGCTGCGCCTGCGCCGGCTGCGCCTGCGCCAGCTGGAGGCCCAGAGACAGACCCAGTGAGGGCAAGGAGGGGTCCTCCGGCGTCGCCCCAAGGAGAACGGGGCTGTCGGGCCCTTTTTTCTGGCTGGGGCCCTTTCGGTTTGGGGGGCTGCGAGAATGCCGGCCCTCGGCCCACAAGCAAGAAGTGCACCTCCCGGACTTTCAAAACAACTGAGATATCCTAGCCTGGCTTTTAGGGAGAAATATTGTTGATAGTTTTACAAAGACCTGGACATTTCTTTCTTTCTTTCCTTCCTTCCTTCCTTCCTTCCTTCCTTCCTTCCTTCCTTCCTTCCTTCCTTCCTTCCTCCCTTCTCTTCCTCTTCATTCCTCTTCCTTTCCCCCACTCTTTCCCATTTCTTACTTCCCCATTTCCTTCCTTTCTTTTTTCCCTTCCTCCTTCCTCCTTCCTTTTTCTCTTCCTCCTTCCTTCATTCCTCAATTTTCTTCCTTCCTTTCCATCTTTCCTTTCTCTTTCTCTCTTAGCCTTTCCTTCCTTCTCATTTCCTTCCTCTTCTTTGTTTCATTTTCTTTTTTTCCTTCCTTCCTTCCTTCCTTCCTTCCTTCCTTCCTTCATCCTTCTTTTCTTCCTCCCTCCCACCTCCCTGTCTCTGTATTCTAGATAGTTTTTTAAAGCACCAAGTACTGGAATGACGCAAAATAGGTCACAGCCTTGTGGCTGGCAGGCTGGTCCTGGCCGAACAGGCTGTGCCACGCCAGATCAGAGGCCACAGGGTGCTTGCTGGCAACATTTGGGAAGGGGGGGGGAACGGCAGACAGAGAATCCTGGCTTACGTTTCAGTGAAAATGCGGGCATTGCCATACCCTTGCAAGTCAAGGGGCTTTCAAAGAGTTTTTACCCAATAAATTCTTTGGATATTTAATCTCCCCAGGTTCTCTGCAGCTGCTTTTTATTTGCTCGCCTTCCCAACATGCCGAATCGCCAAGTTTGTACCCGTGGTAAGATCTGCCCGAAATATTATTAGAATGGGTGAGCAGTCAACCCAAGGAAGAGTGGAAAAGGGAAACAGGCTTCAGATGGTCAAGCTGGAAGGGGATCACGTAGTGCAGCAGTTCTCAACCTGGGTCACTTGAAAGTGTGTGTGTGGACTTCAACTCCCAGAGATGGGTGGCTATATAATATGAGACAGAGAGAGATAGAGAGAATGGAGAAAGATAGATGCAGATAGACAGACAGATTAGAGAGAGAGATTAGAGGCAAACAGAATGAAGATAGATGAAATGGAGATGAGAGAGAGAGAGAGAGGCAGACAAACAGAATGGAGGTAGATAGATACAGTGGAGATGAGAGAGAGAAAAAGATTAGAGGCAAAGAAACAGAATGGAGATAAATACAACAAAGATGATAGATAGATAGATAGATAGATAGATAGATAGATAGATAGATAGATAGATAGATAGATAGATAGATAGATAGATAGATAGATAGATAGATAGAGGCAGACAAACAGAATGGAGATAGATAGAATGAAGATGATAGATATGGATAGAGTAGACAGATAGACATGGAGATAGATACAGTGAAGAGATGACAGATAGATAATAGATGATAGATAAATGTGCCTTTGTAAAGATGCATCTTGCATGAACATAGTTATTATGCTCTGGTCCGGTTAATGACCGGATGGGAGACCACCAGGAAAGTACAAAGACTACTTGTCGATCAGCCAACACGTGACTACTGTTTCTCTCCCTTTGAATCCTGGGAACTGTAGTCCCCACGCCTGAACGGCCGGCCGGGGCAAACGACGGGATCTCTGCCTGCGCCACTTGGGAGGAGCTCCCGAGGCCCCTTTGGAGCCTTGGGGGCCTTTCCCTCCGTCCGCAGAAGCGCGCGCAGGCTGGCTGGCCACGCCCCCTTTCCAGCCCTTACAGTCAGGAAGAACGAGTCCTCCGGCCGCCCGATTCCTACCATAGAGAGGGGGGACGTTCTCTCCGGCCTGCGGGAAGAGCCGGAAGCGCGCTCGCCATTCGGAAATGACGACGTTCGATACGGCCAGGACGAGGTGGCCGCGTTGTTGCTGTTGAGGGCGGCGGCGGCGGCGGCGGCGGTGGTGCGGTTCCCCCGCAGGTACTTGAGCCGCCGAGGGGGCAGCAGGCCGAGGAAGACTTCCTTATCCGGGCAGGGAGAGCGGGTCGGCCCGAGTGACGCTCCCGCCCGCGCCCCTCCCAACGGGGTGCCCTCCAGTGGGGGGACTACAACACCCATCGTCCGCGGCTAGCGCAGGGGAGCCCGGTTTTCAACAGTCTGGAGCCGCCAGATGCGCAGGACTGCAATGGTTGGCCTTCCACAGCTGGCCTACGTAGTACCACTTAATCCTAACCATCAGAATAGGGTTGGAAGGGACCTTGGAGGTCATCTAGTCCAGCCCCCTGCCCAAGCACCAGACCTTCCCCATGGGCTCTAAGCACTGATGGGGGGGAAATGTACAGGTAATCCTCAAGTTACGACCCACAACTGAGCCCAAAACTTAGGTCGCTAAGCGAGACAGTGGTTAAGGTCAGTTTTGCCCCATTTGACGACCTTTCTTGCCACCATCGTTAGGTCCCTGCAGCTGTTAAGTTAGCAATGGGCTGTTAAGCGAACCTGGCTTCCCCCTCCCACTTTGCTTGTCAGGAGGTTGCAAAAGGAGGGTCATGTGACACCCCCGGGACGCTGTAACCGTCATAAATACGAGCATTTGAATTTCAATCCCATGACCATGGGGATGCTGCAATGGTCGTAAGTGTGGAAAATGGTCGTATGTCGCTTTTTTCAGTGCTGCTGTAACCTCGAACGGTCACTAAATGAGCTGTTGTAAGTCGAGAACTGCCCACCCTCGACTAAAAATGCCAAATCTAGCTCAAATGCCATTTGTCTATCTGGAGCATCAGCAAAGGGGGACTGCAGAAGCTGGCGGCTGCCCTGAAAAATCCCAAGGTGGTCACAAGCAAGAGATGCATCCATTTTTTTTACTGTGGCCACACTGGCACTCGTTAAAAATCCAATTCTGTTGTTGTTGTTAATTGCGAAGTCGTGTCCGACCCATCACGACCCCATGGACAACATTCCTCCAGGTCTTCCTGTCCTCTACCATCTTCTGGAGTACATTTAAATTCACACCTACTTGCTCTCAAAAGGCTACGCATATAGAACACACATAAACATGCCATATACAACATGTGCCATATACCAGGGTTAGGCAACCTTGGCTCTTTTATGACTCGTGGACTTCAACTCTCAGAATTCCTGAGCCTGCATGGGGGAACTATGTCCTTTGATGACTTGTGGACAAAGTCCCAGAATTCCTGAACCAGTATGGGGGAACTGTGGCTCCCTTGATGACTCGTGGACTTCAACTCCCAGAATTCCTGAGTCTGGTGTCCCTTGATGACTTGGACTTCAGCTCTCAGAATTCCTGAGCCTGCATGGGGGAACTATGTCCCTTGATGACTTGTGGACAAAGTCCCAGAATTCCTGAGCCAGCATGGGGGAACTATGGCTCCCTTGATGACTTGTGGACTTCAACTCCCAGAATTCCTGAGCCAGCATGTCTGGCTCAGGAATTCTGGGAGTTGAAGTCCACGAGTCATAAAAGAGCCAAGGTTGCCTACCCCTGGTATACACCTCCTCCCTTACATATAAATACATATAAAAATTAATCACTATCTTAAATACATAGCAGAAAGAGGAAGCTTGAGAGTTCACAAAGTTAATACTGTATGGAACAAAACTGTGACTGAATCTGGATCTTAACCGCCTTTCTTTTGATTTCTTTTTAATCAAGGAGTCTCTGGATCCTCCTTGCTGCTCTTGAACCCATCCCTGCCTGGCACACCATGGTGTCTTACCACATCCGCCAGTACCGTCCCGGGGACTACGAGACGGTGCGGGACTTGTTTGCCACCGGGATGAGCGAGTACGTGCCCACTCTGTGCATCCACATGCTGAAACAGCCTTGGGTCATTCTGATCCTGACTTGCACCTTCAGCGTTCTGTTCACCAGTTCCAAGTCGTTGCTCCTACCCATCCTGGCTATCACTCTGCTGCTAGCCATGGGCCGGCAACTCCTGGGTTACATCTGGTCCATGTACATTGACCACTGCCTGCAGAAAGACCTGCTGGACATCCAGGCCACGTACTTCGGGGGCAAAGGCTCGTGCTTTTGGGTGGCCGAAGTGGATGAGAGCGTGGTGGCCACGGTTGGGGCCAGACCCTCTGAAGAACACCGCAACGAACTCATGTTGAAACGGATGTCCGTTCGGAAAGACTATCGGGGTTTTGGCATCGCCAAGGCCCTCTGCAAGACCGTGATCTGCTTTGCCCGGGAGCACGGCTACTCCTCCGTGGTGCTGAACACCCTCATGGTCCAGCATGAAGCCCGGGCAATGTACGAAGGAGTTGGCTTCCGCAAGTATTACCACTACATCCTCCCCACTGTCTACGGCAGGCTGGCCAACTGTACGATTTCCAAGTATCGCTACGACATTCCTAGCGCCGAGTGAGGAAACCGCCAGAGGATTGTCCTCCGGCGATGGGCTGGATCTGCCCTCCCACCCCATTTCTTCTTCCTGCAGCTGGGCCACCCCGCGAAGTCAACAAAAGGGCAGGGGAAGCGGTTAAGATTTCACACACTGCACCAACAACAAAGATGCGTATCCATTTCCGGATGCTGATTTTTTTTTCCCCCAAGGCGGCTTTTGGGGCCTTCTAAAGTTTTAGCAATGTGGGAAGGAAAACTCCCCGTCTCCTCGCAGCGTCTTTGCAAGTGAGGGGGAAAAAATGTACATTTTTATCGGCGGAGAAGAAGAGATTTTCCCATCTGCCCCATTGAGCTGTGGCCTTGGGGTTAACCATTCTAAACTCACATCCACGTGGCCCTTTTCGGAGAGCTGTTCTCATGACAGCTAACCACCAGTGGGCCAGGGAAGTCTGTTGGCTGGGTGCTTTTTTGCCTAACCTGCTTGGATTAGCGGAAGCTGTTTCTTTCATCTCGCCCCATTGGAAAAAAAGAGCATTTTCTCTCCCTTCTGCAGGGTACACGGCCCCTGGCGTTCTGCTGACTGGGAGACACAAGCAACGTGGTCTCTTTATTTCCCAATCTATGGCTTGCTTCTCAGGCCTGCAAAGTAACCCCACTACTACTACGGCATTGGTAGTGATCCCCCCCCCCCCAAACACCTATGCTTGGATATCTTGGACTAGCTTCTGGCTGTGGTGGGTTTCAGCGGCTTGAGCCCCCATCCTGAGTGCACTTTGGAGGGCTGAGCAGAGAAGGGCTGCCTCGGACTAAGTTCTATCTCCCTGGGTCTGTTTTGAGCCATATTCCTGCTGGAGGAGTCCTGTTCCTTGTTTCTCCAGATTACGGGGACGTACTGTTCCTTTTATACAGGTAGTCCTCAACTTATGACCACGGTTGAGCCCAAAGTTCCCATTGCTAAGCAAAATGTATTCGGTGAGCTTTGTCCCCGTTTACGGCCTTCCTTGCCACAGTTGTTAAGCGAACCACTGCCACAGGGTTGTTAAGTGAATCTGGCTTCCCTCCATTGACTTTGCTCGTCAGGTCGCAAAAGGGAATCACGTGACATCACCACTCCCCCAGAGATGCTGCAGTTGTCATAAGTACATGCCAGTTGCCAAGCCTTTGAATTTTGATCACTTGACCACAGGGAACGCCGCAAGGGTCCTGTGAAAAATGGTTTAAGTCACCTTTTTTGATCGTGGCATCACTTCCAACGGTCAGTAAACGAACAGTTTTAAGTTGAGGACTTCCTGTATCGATCTTAGTATGGCTGGATGGTGTCAATGAAGGATTAGGAATTAATTCCTATAGGAAAATGTCCCCAACAAGGTGTTTTTCTCTACATGATCAAGCCCCAAATCCCAAAGGTTTTTTTTCAGGAGGCAACTGGACTTTGTCTTTGAAGACGTTTTGCTTCTCATCCAAGCAGCTTCTTCAGTTCTTGACTGGGTGGTGGGGAAGGAAGGAAGGAAGGAAGGAAGGAAGGAAGGAAGGAAGGAAGGAAGGAAGGAAGGAAGACAAGCTTGGAATTTAGGATGGATGGATGGTCTGGATAGATGAAAGAAAGGTCTGGAATTTAGGATGGATGGATAGGTGGCTGGATGGGAGGGAGGGAGGAAGATCTTAAAGGCGCTTTCTCAGGAAGCAACTTGTTTTCCTTTGAAGACATTTCCCTTCTCATCCCAGAGGCTTCTTCAGCTCTGACTGGATGGTGGGGAATGGAAGGATTTATACTCCTTGCAGGCAGCTGGTCATTTGCCTCCGTTTAGAGAGTCGTTGAGGCCACTGTTGAGGTTTACCTGTGTCCTCAGGGTCACCTGAGTGGTGCAAATTGGTGTGGAGTCTCCTTGGCTGCAGGATGTTTTTCTGGCCTGGGTCCTTTCACCATTGAATACAGACGCAGGCTGTTGGGGATGAGTCTGGGTTGTCTGAATCTCAAACTAAAGCGCAAATGTTTCCTGGAGTCTACAATCTTTTCTGGAAATCCGTTCACACTCCCACACCCTTCGAAGGGTGTTCATTCCCAAAGTGCATCGCTAAATGTCGATGGAGATTCTCAGGTCATGGCGAAACGTTTTTTAAGAAGAGACTGGACAGCCATTTGTCTGAAATGGTATAGGGTTTCCTGCCTGAGCAGGGGGTTGGACTAGATGACCTTCAAGTTCCCTTCCAACTTTATTATCGTTAAACGTCTTCAAAGAAAAATAAAGTGCAGTTGCCTCCTGAAGAAGCACCTTTGGGACAAACATACCTGGATGACTGAGAATCTCCATAGACAAGTCCCCAAATTCTTTATCCCTGTTTTATGGGGGAGCTGTCTTAATCCCTCAATTTTTGGAATCAACCATTTTTCTCAGCTCTCTCAGAGGGGAGACAATTAAACATTTCTCTGGCTGGCCTTTCAATTTTTTTCAAGAATTCCTGTTTTAAAGTTTATCACGGCATCGGTCATGAGCCAGGCTGACCTCGGTCTGACGAAGAACTCTTAGCTTTTAAGAGACAAAAAGGAAATTTATTCTGAAAATGAAAATAAGGGGGGGGGTGGATCTTAAAAAGCAGCAAGCCGGTACAAAATTCTGGCAAAATCCAACAGAGTCGGTTTAGCTAAAGTTGCTTTTTAACTTGCTGTTAGTTCTCAGCACAAGTTCAAGGTTCAATGTGGACAGAATGTCTGTAGAAAAATCAGCTGGGCCTCCAGCTTGGGTGGGGATGGGCAGGTCCTCCTTGCTGTTCATCTTTCTCTCTTCTGCTGTTGAGCAGGAGCCTCACTTTGATAGGTGGAATATAAGCAAAAGGTAAGCCTCCCTGGCTCAAGGTTGACTTGGCTTCCGTCCTTCCGAGGTCGGTAAAATGAGGACCCAGATTGTTCTGGGCGATAGGCTGACTCTGTAAACCGCTTAGAGAGGGCTGTAAAGCACTGGGAAACGGTATCTAAGTCTATTGTGCTTGCTCTGCCCTTCTTTCCTTTCCTTTCCTTCCTTCCTTCTTGCCTGCCTGGAAATGGAGCTGGATTAGTGAGGATTCTTTGGATTTAGATCCAGTCAGCCATTTTTGGTACGGGCAAGATGGTGGCCAAGCCGTTGCTCCCTGCCAAATTTCTTAATAGGAAAGAATCTGTGGGAAGATGAAGTCTGCTTGAGTCAGGTTGATCTGCTGATTAACACATCAGGCTAAAAAACCAGGAGATGGTGAGTTCTAGTCCTGCCATAGGCGTGAAAGCCAGCTGGGCGACTTTGCGCCAATTATCAGGAGACCCTGAGTTCTTGTCCCACCTTAGGCGTGAAAGCCGGCTGGGTGACTTTGGAGTAATCATTAGGCAATGGTGAGTTTTAGCCCCACTTAGGCACGAAAGCCATCTGGGTGACTTTGGGCGAATAGCCAGGAGACAAGTGAGTTCTAGTTCTGCCCTAAGCATGAAAACCATCTGGGTGACTTTGAGCCAATCATCAGGAGACAGTGAGTTCTAGTCCCGCCTTAGCACAAAAGCCGGCTGGGTGACTGAGCCAATCATTAGGAGACGGTGAAGTCTAGTCCTGCCTTAGACACAAAAGCCAACTGGGTGACTTTGAGCCAATTGCCAGGCGATAGTGAATTCTAGTCCCACCTTAGGCACAAAAGCTGGCTGTCTGGGCCAGTCGCTCAGTCCCAACCTAGTTTACCTCACAGGGTTGTTGTGAGAAAAATAGGAGAAATGACTATTAGATACCTTTGCCACCTTGAATTTAAAAATAATAAAGGCGGAATTTTTAAAAAAAATTAAATAAAAACCCTCTCACACGGTTGAAGAATTTTGATTGTTGTGCTGCTGTTTTGAATGGATTGCGTCCATCTCTCTTCAATCCATTTGTGCCTCCACTGATTTTTGAACGTCTCGCTGTCCGAGCAGTGACCCTATTGTCCTGTGCAGGTTTGTGCACTGGCGTTGTGCCGTGTGGAGAAATACATTTGATTTTTCAATAAAGTTGAAATGTTTCTGGACCTGATCCTTGTTCATCTTACAGCGCTCTTCATCTCTCACCAAGCTTCCAAGCCACAAAACTCTTTTTCCTCATATTAAAAAAAGGGGAAAAAAAGAAAAACCAAACCACATTTTATTTCCTTGCAATAATAAAGCACTAAAATTCCAGGCGCGTGTGGACTTTGTCTTCTGTCTCAACCTAAAAAAAAAGGGGGGGGGGAGGCTCTTAATCTGAATGTTAATTGGTTTATCATCCAAATCACGTTTTCAATGGACGTGCCAGGGAGTTGGGTATAAAATGCTCTTTTTCAAGGACGGCACAAAGCAGTCACTTTAAAGTCATGTGGATTTGATTTAATCTACAAAAGCTGATTTAGGTCCAGCAGCTCCAATCCGGGTTTTGCTATATATTAGTCCAGTTTCAAAGGATGTAATGTATATATAGAATTACTTTTTTTCCAACTCTCGGGATCCTGCTAAGAGAAAGCAAGCTTGATCCCTGAAGATCCTTTTTTAACAGCCTCCTGGACTAAAATAGAGGTTTAAAGTGACTATACAGGAAGCTGGCATGAGTTGTACAGTAGGGAAATAATTCTTTGTAGGATTTCTTCCTTTTAAGCTTGTCGCTTCCTGGTGCAAATCTGATTTCCTTGCAAGATCATGGCTGCAATCATAGATGGTCAGGAGAAGCCAGCACCTGGACACCTAGCAGCAGGTAAGTGATGGGGGAGTAGCCGTCCACCTTTGCAAGCCAGAAACTGGGCCAGCTATATTTTTAATGCCAGCAGGGACAATTCTGGCTTAAAACTGGAATTAAAAAGACCCCATTAGGATGCCGTCCAGATTCCCAGGAGAGAGAGGTTGCCTTCCAGAGGATCAAGAGACAATTCAGAGTGTGTGAGAAAGAGGGTGAAGACTACTCCTTCCTAACAGTATGAGCAGGGGGGTTGGACTAGAAGACCTCCAAGGTCCCTTCCAGCTCTACTCTGATGGATTGATTTTTCCCTAGGTTGCAAATAGAAAGGGGAGGTTCAAGTGATAAGAATCAGGACTCCTAGGTTAAGTTGCAGCTAAGATTGATTGCTCCAGCTGACACAGGTAGCCCTTGACTTAAGGACAGGTCATTTAGTGACCGGTCAAAGTTAACGATGGCACAGAAAAAAGGGACTTGCGACCTTTTTTCACAGCCCAAAATTTCTGTTCCCAATGAGACAATGGTTAGGTGAGTTTGGCCCCATTTTACGACCTTGCTTGCCTCAGTTGTTAAGTGAATCATAGAATCAAGATCACACGACGTATTAGTACCGCTTTATAAAACCCTAGTAAGGCCACACCTGAAATACTGAGGCCAATTTTGGTCACCATGCTACAAAAAAGCTGTTTGGAAAAAATTCAGGGAAGAGCAACTAAGATGATCCAAGGCCTGGAGACTAAAACAGCCCCTGGAATACTACTATCATATCTTCCCTATTCTTTTCTTTAGACTAGCCAAACCCAAATACTGCAGCCGTTCTTTGTATGTTTTAGTCTCCAGGCCTCGGATCATCTTAGTTGCTCTTCTCTGCACTTTTTCCAAAGTCTCAACATCGTTTTTGTGATGTTTTCTGCCCTGGGTCCCTTCACCGTTGAAGATCAGCACAGGCTGTTGGGGATGAGTCTGCGTTGTCTGAATCTCAAACTGAAGTAAATGGTTCCTGGAGTCTGCAATATTTTCTGGAAATCCGTTCATCCTCCCGCACCATTCAAAGGGTTTCCATCCCAAATGCATGGTTAAATGTCTATGAAGCGTCTCCGTCATCCAGGTCCTGGTTATCCCAAAGATGTTTTTTCAGTTTTGAGATGCAGACCCCCATAGACTCATACCCAACAGCCTGCACCTGTCTTCAACGGGGAAGAGACCCAGGGCAGAAAACATCCTGCAGCCAAGGCTCCACACCCATTTGCACCACTCAGGTGACCTGAGGACACAGGTAAACCTCCAGGTGGCCTCAACGCCTCTCTAAAAGGAGGCAAATGACTAGCAGTCTGCAAGGAGTATAAATCCTTTCATCCCCCACCATTAAGTCAGAGCTGAAGAAGCTTCTGGGATGAGAAGTGAAACATCTTCAAAGAAAAACAAGAAAGTCCTGTTGTCTCTTGAAAAAGGACCTTTGGGACAACCCTGACCTGGAGGACGGAGAATCCTCAGATGTCTGCCTCTTCTGTTTTGCAGGGCAGGAGAAACGTGACTTGGTCGCAGGCAAGTACCACATCCGGAAGTACGAGGCCAGAGACTATGACATGATGCGCACCTTCTACATTCAAGGGATCAAGGAACACATTCCTCGGGCGTTGTGGCACTTTCTAGGGCGTCCTCAGACACACCTGGGCCTTCTGGCTGTCTTCCTCATGACTTACCTGAGCTCGGCGTCCTACATCATCTCCCTGGTGGTGGTGTCCATTCTCCTGGTGGTCGGCATGCTTTCCATGAAGAACATCTATGAAGACTATCTCCAAAACAGCCTTACTACGGATATGCTGGACATCCAGGGGACCTACCTGGAGCCAGAGGACTGCGGCTTCTGGGTGGTGGACATTGGAGAGGAGGTGGTAGGCATGGTGGCCCTCACCCATCCTGACAACCCATCTTGGTGGAGCAACGCCCGGGAGCTGAAGCGGATGTCCGTGAAGAAGGAGCATCGTGGCCAAGGGCTATCCAAGGCTCTAATCAAGACGGTCATCCAGTTTTCTCAGGAGCATGGCTATGAAGAAGTCGTGTTGGGTACCTCCATGGTGCAACACATTGCTCATAGGGCCTACGAGAACATGGGCTTTCACAAAGTCCTGGAGGAAAATCCCTCTTTCATAGCTAAACTGGTAGGTTTTTCTGCGCATTGGTATTATTACAAAATCCCAGACACTCACTGAGGTCCACCTGAAGTCATCAGTCACCTCCCCAAAGGAGAAGTTAAGTTCTACATTCAGTTCTACATCAGCAAGAATGCAGATTCAACCTTCTCCTGGTTGGAATTGAACCAACTCTTTGAAGAGGCTTTGTGTCACCTGAGTTCGCCCCGCCTAAATCGGGTTTCCCAATGGAATGATCTTTAAACTCCTGTTATCCGACTGGGTTAACATAACTGGCCCCATGTCCCAACACAGCCTGCCCTTGGAAGTTCCTACACTCTGTTGGTTGCCAGCCATAAGCTTCTCACAGAGGTCTTCTTCTTTAAGTCCTATTCTCCTTAATCTACCAACAGCTTGGAAGAGAAGAAACATGCTGGGCCCTTCCTCACAAATGCCAAATCTGTAGAAAAGAGAGAGAGACAGAGAGAGAAAGGAAAAAGAAAAAAAAGACAAAGAGACAGAGAGAGAAAGGGATAGAGATAACAAAAAGGAATAGAAACAGAAACAGAGAGAGAGAGGAAAAAGAAAAAGACAAAAAGAGAAAGACAGAGACAGACAACAAGAAAGAGAAAAAGGAGAGAAACAGAGAAAGAGGGAAAAGACAGACAGAGAAAGACAAAGAGAACAAGAAAGAGAAAAAGAAGAGGCAGAGAGATAGAGACAGGAAAAAGAGAAAGAGAAAGCAGAAAAAAAAGGAGACAGAGAAGGGGAAAATGAGAGAAACAAAAGGGGGAGAAAGAAAAAAAGAGAGAGAGAGAAAACAAAAAGAAAAGCAGAATGAGACAAAGAGAGAAAAAGAGACAAAAAGAAAAAGAGAGAGGGAGGGAAGGAGAGGTCCTCCCAGGGATTGGTCTTAAACTGGGAGAAGCTTCATTTCCTTGGTGCCATTAGGACTATAATTTCCATGATCCACAGTCAAGCAGGCTGGATTGATGGGAACTAGAAGCTAGCATAGCTTTGATCTGGAATTGAGCTAAAACAGCTTCAGATGTAGGCCTTTTACTTCTGTTTAGTTTGTTTCACTTTATTCCCTTCTCGAACTCAAGACCCAACATTTTCAAAATTTAATAAATTCCACATTGGGCCAGTCCTCTTTATTCTTCAGCTAAGCCTGAATCTTCCCTTCCCTCCCCCAGAATAATATTTTTCCCCTTATCTCTATGCTAACCACACCCAAGTTTGTGTCTTTTCTACAGTTACACTCTGCAAGCAACAAGATAGGGGAGGGGGGGAACCCAAGAAATTTTTAAAGCCTGCTCATTTTCTTTGGCAAAAAATTTGCATTTCAATCGTTTTTCCACATCCAGTCAAATTTTACTAAATATCAGCATGTTATTCTGTCCTTCCTATGCTACCCCTCTTCATCTACTCTAGGTTTTTTCAAACTGAGGAATTTGCAGATTGAAATCCACACACATCTTAAAGTAGCCAAGTTTGAAAAACACTATCTAAAGAAACTTCGATTCACAATGGCTCTTATTTGTGTGATCTCTTTCCTTATTGGTGCCTTATACATTTTTGCTCAGCATGTAATGTTCCTTCCATTTCCCCTCCCTCTGAATTTTTTTTGTGCCTAAAGTTTGGGTTATTTTCCCTCCGACAATATAACTTTGCAGCTTTCTAGATCTGGAAGAACTTCCTAATTGTTGCAATGTACAAACAGATGGTTGTTAGTCCTTGACTTAACAACCATTCGTTATTTGAAGTTACAGTGGCAATGAAAAAAGTGACTTATGACCATTTTTCACACTTACGACCGTTGCAGCATCCCTGCGGTCAACGTGATCAAAATCCAGAAGCTGGGCAACTGATGGTCCCAGTGTCCCTGGGGGTCACATGATCCCCTTTTGTGACCTTCTGACAAGCAAAGTCAATGGGGGGAAGCCGGATTCACTTAACAACCGGGTTACTGACTTAAAAACTGCAGTGATTTGCTTAACAACTGTGGCAAGGAAGGTTCATAAAATTCACTGAACAAATGGTTCACTTAGCAACAGAAGTTTTGGGCTCAAGGTTGTAAGTCAAGGACTACCTGTAGTGTTTTCACCATTCCCCACCCATACAAACTGCAGGGATAGGTAAATGTTCCAGCACATCTGCGGGCCATTTGTTGCAAAAGGGTGAATTTTACCGTTATGCAACTATTTCCCTTGACACAGTGATTTTCAAACCAAGTTCAGTTCTTGCAGAGTTATTAATCTTCAAGCAACAGAAACCAAAGAGGAAAAAAAAACCCTCAACTGCCCCCTGCAGGTCATAAACTATACCTACAAGCTAATTTATTTGCTATAGAATAGGGCAGTGATGGCAAACCTTTTAGAGACCGAGTGCCCAAACTGCAACCCAAAACCCACTTATGCATCACCAGGTGCTGGGTGGGTGTGGCCCATTGGGTGGGTGTGGCCCATTGGGTGGGCGTGGCTGCGGGGGTAACGGCAGACTGGGTGGGACTAAACAGTTCAATCAATCAATACCAACTTTGCAAGTTCTTTTTTTTTCCCACGAGAAGTTGAAATTGACTGATTGATTGAACCTTTTTTTTTTTTCATACGGTGGCGGAGGCATAAAGCAAAAAGGTTTTATAAAATCCAACTGAAGGCCTAGGACTGGGGCAACAGTGCACGTGCCCACAGAGGGCTGAGTGCCGCCTCTGGCACCCGTGCCATAGGTTCGCCACCACTGGAATAGGGTTTCCTGCCCTGAGCAGGGAGGGGGTTGGACTAGAAGACCTCCAAGGTCCCTTCCAGCTCTATTTTATTATAATTATAATCTCAAAGCAATTGTTCACTGTATTTTCTTCCACTGTTAAGAAGGAAAAAGATACAGAAAGGAGAAAGTATTCCCCTTTTAGCTGTTGTTTTGTGGTTAATTCGGGATTCGGGGGAAATGTCCCTTTAACCGGCTCCTCTGGTTCAAGCCTGTTGCTCCAGTTCAAAATATGGAGTTGTGTTGTTTTGTGGAGGCTGTACCGATAGCAAACGGGAGGTCTTAGGGCAGGACTTTGATTCTCTTCACCCCGAGCCTAGCTGGTAAAAGCAGGAGAGTCTGCCCCCTTACTGACACCTTTCATCAACCCCTGATCAAGAATTCTAGGGCTTTGTTATGATTCCTACAACTCTGTAGGCCCATAACCCACAAGATGTCAAGGTCTTCATCAAAATTAATGGATGAACAACAACAACAACTCTGTGCTTTTTTCCTAGGGGCACTCAGGGTACACCTTTGATAAAGGAATATACGTAATAAGCAAACACCCATAAAACTGAGTTTAGTCAAAACAACAAAGTCTGCCCTCCTGTGGCCAGTGTGTGCTGTAACATTTGGCAAAGAAGCCCTGGAGTGGCTTATTTTTGTTCTTTCATTTCCTTCCTTTGATGAAAGCTCAAAGCAGCCCCAGAAGAGGCTGTGAGGAATATAAAAGAGAATTCCAGGAGTTAAAATTTCATTTCTAATAGGATGGATGATAGATAGATCAGATTGGTTGGTAGGTAGGTAGGTAGGTAGGTAGGATGGAGATAGTCTATGGATGGATGGATGGAGATAGAGATAGGTAGGTAGGTAGATAGGATGGATGGATGGAGATAGAGGTAGGTAGATAGGATGGATGGAGATAGAGGTAGGTAGGTAGGTAGATAGGATGGATGGATGGAGATAGAGGTAGGTAGGTAGATAGGATGGATGGAGATAGAGGTAGGTAGGTAGGTAGGATGGAGATAGAGGTAGATAGATAGATAGATAGATAGATAGATAGATAGATAGATAGATAGATAGATAGATAGATAGATAGGATGGATGGAGATAGATAGATAGATAGATAGGATAGAATAGATAGACAGGATGGAGATAGATAGATAGATAGATAGATAGATAGATAGATAGATAGATAGATAGATAGACAGACAGACAGACAGACAGACAGATAGAATGGAAGGAGATAGAGGTAGGTAGGTAGGTAGGTAGGTAAGTAGGTAGGTAGGTGGGCGGGTAGCTAGGTAGATTAGGCAGGTAAGCTGGTAGGTACTAGAAGTCCTAGCTAAAATTCCCTCAGGCCCCAAGAATTCACTTTATTCCAGAGAGGAAGGTCCGCTCCTGAGGCAATTTTATCTTTAACGTTAATTTTAACTCTTATTCACCTGTGGCGGTTTGGTCCTTTTTTTAAAAAAGGACATGGCTGAGGTTACCTCAGGTTCCACCCAAATTTTAAGAACGTGAGCTTTGACTAGAATTACTTCAAGACCCAGCGGTTTGCGAAGACTGAGATAAGTATCTTTAGTGACCTGTGGCATTGGCGTCCTTTGAATAGACCACCGTTGAGAGGATTCCCTCAGCCACCCCTGGCGTTTTACGCCAAAGAATACACGCCGCGCTTAAAATCACCACAGGTGCTATCCTGACTGCCCGAGAACAATCAGCTATTAATTAGCTAAAGAACGCGCGCTCCCCTCAACGTAGAAAAGTCTCCGCTAGAATTACCTCAAAGCTCAAAAGGCCCTGCCCGGCCTCGAGCTCGAGGACTTGGGCCGCGGGAGCGCCGAAGAGAGACTTTTTTTTTTGCCCCCCCGGCGCCCCGCAGCATCGTCCCTTTCGGGGACCGAGAGACGCGGCTAGCGGCGTCTGCTGCCTCTGAGGCGCGCCCGCTTCGCTCTTTTTTTTTGCGCTCAGCCTGAGGAGCCCGCCGACTTTTTAAATGTCCCCGCCTCTCATCGAAGGGACAGACCGCTTAGCCAATCCGAGGGGATCGCGTTTTCTGAGCAGCCAATCAACGGGCGAGAATGGGCGTGCGGACAAAGAGCCCGCGAGGCGGTCCGAGGGCGCTGGGCGGGAAAGGCGCGCGCTCGTTCGTTCCCGCGCAGGTGTGATCGCTCGGCTCGCGGAGCGGTTGCCATGGAGACGGGCGCGGCGCGCGAGGCGCCTCATCGCGGCCATGTGGGCCTCGGCCGCACAGGTGAAAGCGATTAGGCGGTTGCGACTGTGTCTGTGTGTGTGTGTGTGTGTAATGCCTTCTCCTCGAGGCTTCGCCCCACCCAAGGGACCCTTCGCCCCACCCCGGGGACCCTTGGACTACAAATCCCATCCGCCAGGCAGCCAGCGGGTCTCCCTTTGTGCAGGAGAGGCCGGAATAGGGTTGGAGGTTGCCTCCTTCCCCCTCCCCCCCCCCGCTGCAAAGGCCCAGTTTTTAAAATATCCCCATCATTTTTGCAGCAGTGAGCGATCCAGAGGGTGACTTTGGGCTTCTACTGAGGAATGCTTTGGATTACAAGTCCCATCAGCCACCTCCGGGGTGGGATGGGTGTTGATAGGGATGGTCCCTTCTTGCAACAGGTTTTTTTTTTTTTGATCCTGTTGAGCAGGTTCCCCCCCCCCGCCGCTTAAAATGCTGTTTTTACAAAAAAAACTGAAAATACATACCAAAAAATAAAATAAAAATAAAATTATGGTTATATGTACAGTATAGGACACAGAGACAGAGAGAAGCAATTGCAGAGAGAGAGAGAGAGAGAGACAGAAACACAGAGACAGAGAGAGACCCTTTTGACATCTAAAATGAAGATACTGCATATATCCCTTTTTTACCTGTGTATATGTGTATATGTATGTACACACATGTGTATGTGTATATGTATATACACACACACACTCACATACACACACATGCACACACCTATAATAAAGGTAAAAAAGGATATATGCAGTGTTATCTTCATTTTAGATATCAAAAGGGTTTTGCGGCTCCCGGTGTTTTGTTTTTGGTGGGAAACGGGTCCAAGTGGCTCTTTGAGTGTTTTGGGTTGCCTACCCCTGGTATAGGACATACTTTGGACTACGGGTCCCATTAGTCAGGGGACTGCCTCTCTTGCAACAGATTGCCCGTCTGGTTGGTGGGTCATCCCCTCCACCTAAAATTAAAAGCTCTTTTTCTGTTTGTTTGTTTGTTTGTTTGTTTGCATCTTCTCCACCCTGTCACAATCTCACCGGGCAGCCCTTGGTTTTATTTTGAATTTTTTTTTTCAGTCTTTTTTTCTTTAAGAAAAAAAAATATATCCAGGAGTGGTTTGTTTTGCTTTGCTTTCTAGGGATTCTGCTAAAATGTTATAATAGAGTTTCTGAGGCATAGTGTCTTGCCCAGTGAACGAAATGGACTCAAATTTGAGACTATTTCTTCCTTTTTCTATTATTGGACCTCTTCCCTACCCACAGTTAAATGTTTTCCAAAGAAGTCGGATACATTTATATCCCCATCGTAAGGATTTTAATACCTTTTAATGAGACTCCTCTCAACATTTTCCACCATATTGCGCCCTCCAGATAGGGTTAGATCAAAGTTTCTCAATCTTGGTCACTTTAAGATGGGTGGACTTCAACTCCCAGAATTCCCCAGCCAGCCTAGCTGGCTGGGGAATTCTGGGAGTTGAAGTCCACCCATCTTAAAGTGACCAAGATTGAGAAACACCTCCATAAAGTAAAACCAAGAGCAAAGACTATAATAACCCTCCAGATGTAAACAATAACAGGCAAGTTTTAATTTTTTTAAAAAAAAAGAACTAAAAAAACACAAGCAGAATATATAGGACCGAGTCTGCAATCAGCAGCTTCGGAATTGGTCAGTTACAAATAAACTTCTAATATTTCCCACTATACATGACTTTGGGATGTGTCGTTTTCTTTCGTAGCATGCATAAGCAGACGCACATCAGTCCGTCTTACACTGGCTGTTGGAATCCTTTTGTAAGTCAGGGTCCCTAGAGGGCCAAGGAGAACAGTCCCTGGCCAGACACCCTCCTGGGAGTGGGCTAGACCCCGACCTTGGAGTAGGGGAAAACAATATTGAGATCAACATAACTCCATGGAGTCACTTCTGGAACGGTGTTTCAGAAATAGTTGCTAAATTGTCAGGCTCCAACCTCGAACCTCAGGACACAATTGAAGTCTTCCTGACACTAAATAGATACCCAAACCCTTCCACCCAATTCCTGGCTTCTCGCCACCTTGTGAGCCGAGCCCACCAGTGTCCCAACCGTCCTGGTAGCACGGCAGAAGTTGCAGCCCCTGTGGGCCGCGGTGTGGGGTCCCAGATGGGAACTATCCCGCGGAGCTAATTGTCCCACGTGGCGAATTGGCCGGAGCAATTTGTCCTGCAGTGAATTGCCCAGAGAGAAGCAGTAGTTGAGAGCGACGCGGAACGGGTAGACGAGGACGGGCAGCTGTGATGGGTCAACTGGGACGAGGGGGAATGAGGGTGAAATGGTCAGGGCCAATTGTCCAAGACAAGACCAGGACGGAGAGGATGTTGCATCCTTTTGTCACAGACACAAGCACACGGGTCAATTTTGGTGCACAGAAAATAGAACGGAGAGAAAATCTCCACGGGTCAATTTTGGTGCACAGATAATAGAATGGAGAGAAAATCTCCACGGTCAGTTCTTCTCCTACACCCTGGAAGAGATACTTTTCCTTGTCCTGGCAGGAGACAATCTTCAGTGGCGCTTCAAGGGGACCTTGCGTTTCCAATACGGCGTAACATCTCCCCGATACGAGTGCTCTTGGCGCATGACAAAGGGAGAGCCCACATGTGTTCTTCTTTTTCGATGCCACCTGGAGCTTGGGAATATGTTTTCTTCGTTGTGGGAGGGGTAAGGCAGGAAGGGATCTGGGGGGGCCCACAGATGGCAATCAAAGTTGTCGAGGGCCACGTCTACAGAAAAAGCAAAAAGAGGAAGAAGCAGTAGAGAAAGTTTCCTTGCTACATACCTCAAACACATAGCCAGTTTTGGCCATCAAAAGAGAGATCTTCATTAACTCATGTTAGGCTTCATACAGTGCTCCGAAGCACAAATGAATCCAACAGGAAGTATTGGCACAAAGCCACGAAGAACAAATCAGAGCTAGCCAAACACTACGGAGCCGGTGAAATACATTGTGTGAACACAGCCCGTGCCTTGCCAGCTTGTCACTTTGGACCATCAGTGGGCTTTCTGTGCGTGCAAACCAGGGGACCTCATCCTTGTTAGCTTGTACAAAAGGACCTCAGTTAACAACCATTCATTCATCTCTTCAAACTTAACAATGGCGCTGAACAAGCAGTACTTACAACTGGTCCTCAAGAGTTTTGGCCATTATAGCATCCATGTGATCACATGACTACAATCTGGGGATCTGGGCATTTCACAACCAACTATCAAAGTGTCCTGTGGTTACGTAATCACGATTTCTGATCTTCCCTGACAGGCTCCCACAACCAAAGTCAATATACAAACTGGCAAAAAGTCAGACATTGCAATCATGTGAGTTCCTCACATAATCAGCCAAGGTGTTTCGCTTTAACGATGTTAATGGGGACTGCCAAAACTGCTGTCCTTTACAACTGCATTGCTTAGTGATGGACAGTGTGGTCCCAATTACTGTCATTAAGCGAGTTCTTCCCCAGTCTCACTTCCCCCAGAGGTTTCTTTTGTAGGTCACGCCTGTTTCCAGTTAAACTAGCAACTGCTGAGATCAATATTAAGAAAGAGAGAGAAGGAGGGAGGGAGAGGGGGAGAGGGAGAGAAAGACGGAGAGAGAGGACGGGAGAGAGGGAAGGAAAGAGGGAAAGGGGAAGATGGGGAGAGAGGGAGGGGAGGGAGAAAAAGAGAGCGGGGGAGAGAGGAAGAAGGGGAACGAGGAAAGGGATGGAGAGAGGGAGAGAAAGACGAGGAAGGGAGAGCGAGAGAGGGAGAAAAGGAATGGGCAGGAGAGGGGGAGACAGAAGGAAGGAGAAAGGGAGGGGGAGAGGAAGAGAAAGACGGGGAGAGAGGGAGGGAGAGCACACACATGTGCACATAAGCACTGACCTCTGAACACGTTGTCTGGGTAAAAGGAGAAGCCTTGGGAGTCCTCAAAGCTGGTAAATCCCACGAAAGGCGTCGATGTCCCTCCACCATTGGGAACGAGTAAACAGTCATCATAGAAAACGGGGTGCTCTGGATAACGCCCGTCGGCTTCATAACGGCCAGCAAATGTCACTTGATCTGTAGGATCAAGGGAGACCATTCTGGACTCTTCAACCACCCTCGGTATCAGGGATGTCCCCCAAGGTGTAACCCCAAAAGATCAAGGTGGTGGCCATGGTGACGTCATCAAGGATCCATCTCTTAAGCATTGAGTACGATGTCCGTAAGAAACAGAGGGATCTTGGATTGCCACACTGTGGCCGCCATCTTGACTTTTTTTTTTTTGACCATGTCCCGCCCGCATGCCCGCTCAGTGCAGACCTTCCCATCCTTATCGGCCAGGCCAGGGGCTCCAGAAGCACCACGTGGCTGGACGGTGACCTCCAACCTGCTAGAACCCACCACATGGGCCCCTGTGACCCCTCCAACCACAGGTACTTGCGTTCTTTGTGCCGCCATCGGGTTGCCGGTGTGGGACATTCCCGGAAGCCTGCGGCATCTTCATATTCTCTTCTGCTCCTATTGAGGTGTCCTATAATGTCCGCTGGGGCAGCTAGCAGCCTGATGGCCTTGGTTTGTTCTGAAGGAAAAGAGGACACCAAGTGGTTCACAACACACCAGGCCTCTCGGAGAAAACTCTGGCCGACTACGCTATCTATGGCAGCACTTCCCCATAGCCCCTCAAGGTGCTTCCGGGTGTTTAACCATGGAACGTGAAACACGTTCTTGACTTAACGGCTACAATTGGCACCAGAATCTCTATCGCTAAGCAAGGAGATGGTTACATGAGTTGGGCCTCATTTTATGGCCCTTTTGCCAGAGGGAATGGCAGCAGTCATTAAGTGGACCGTGTGGTCATTAAACGAATCCAGCTTCCGAAGAAGAAGAAGAAGAAGAAGAAGAAGAAGAAGAAGAAGAAGAAGAAGAAGAAGAAGAAGAAGAAGAAGAAGAAGAAGAAGAGGAGGAGGAGGGGAGGAGGGGAGGAGGAGAAGAAGAAGAAGGAGAAGAAGAAGAAGAAGAAGAGGAGGAGGAGGGGAGTAGGGGAGGAGGAGGAGAAGAAGAAGAAGGAGAAGAAGAAGAAGAAGAAGAGGAGGAGGAGGAAGAGGAGGAGGAGGATTGTGGGGTCCTTGGTGCTCTCTGAGCTTAGCTGCTTTCTTGCAGACATTTTATGACCCAACTGGGTAACATCATCAGTGCTAGAAGGGTGTGGGATTTGTGCAGAGGAGAAGGACTGTGGGGTCTTTGATGCTCTCTCAGCTTGGCTGATTTCTTGAAAATGTTTTATGACCGAACTAGGTAACGTCATCAGTGCTAGAAGGGAGTGGTTTTTGTGGAGTGAAGGAGGAGGAAAAGGATGTGGGGTCCTTGGTGATTTTCTTGCAGACATATCATTAATTAACTAGGTAGCATCATCAGTGCTAGAAAGAAGGAGGAGGAGGAGGATGACGACAACTGCAAGACCCTTGGTGCTCTCTAAACTTGACTGTTTTCTTGAAGACATTTCATTGCCCAACTAGGTAACATCATCAGTGCTAGAAGGGAGAGGGGTTTGGGGAGGGGAGGAGCAGGAAGAGAAGAAGGACTGTGAGGTCCTTGGTGCTCTCTGAGCTTGGCTGATTTCTTGAAGACATTTCATTGCCCAACTAGGTCACATCGTCAGTGCTAGAAGAGAGTGGGGTGTACGCAGAAAGGAGGAGAAGAACAAAGACAACTGTGGTGTCCTTGATGCTCTCTGAGCTTGGTGCTTTTCTTGCAGACATTTCATTACCAAGCTAGGTTACATCATCAGTGCTACTGTAGTATAAAGTAGAGAGTAGTAGATGTCGAGAGAAAAGAGGCCTCTGGCTATCGCGGTCTTTGGCCTCACCAGCGCCCTCGGCTGTTTACGCCAAAGCACTGCACCCTTGGGGTAAAAAAAAAAAAAACAACTTCTTCCTGAATTAGATGCTCCTGGCTTTATCACCCTCTCCCTGCCTCAGGTGGAGATTCAAGGGATAGCAGATGGGTGTCCTTCTACTCACCCTCCCAAGGATCCTTCTCTGGGATCACGACGCCCCAGGCGTCTGCCAGATGGGTCAGGAGAAGGTTGGTGATCCTGCGATGCACCACGTTGTTCCAGTGGATGCCATCTTTGACCCGGTTCCCCACGTCGAAGCGGAAGTGGAAGTGGAGGTCCACCACGTCAAAAAGGTGGAGGGCAGCCAGCGTGGCCCCGTAGAAGTTGCCTTCAATGATGTCCTTGCGGAGGGTCTGGTTCAGGTGCTGCAGCTGGGAGACAGTAGGAAATAAGGCGCAAACTTCCCTTGGTTGGCCAAGCAGGAGGTTGGACTAGAAGACCTCCAATGTCCCTTCAACCTCCAGTCTGTGTTCTGTGCTATGATGAAAGGCAGACATTTCATTGCCCAACTAGGTAATATCATCAGTGCTAGAAAGGAGTGGGGTATGCGAGGAGGAGGAGAAGAAAGATGACTGTGGGGTCTTTGGTGCTCTCTGAGCTTGCTGGTTTTCTTGCAGACGTTTCATGACCCAACTAGGGAACATCATCAGTGCTAGGAGGGAGGAGGAGGACGACGACGACTGTGGGGTCTTTGGTGCTCTCTGAGTTTTGGAGACATTTCATGACCCAACTAGGGAACATCATCAGTACTAGAAGGGAGGAGGTGTGCAGTGGAGGAGGAGGAGAATGACAACTGTGGGGTCCTGAGGTCTCTCTGAACTTGGTTTTCTTGCAAACGTTTCATTACCAAACTAGGAAACATCATCAGTGCAGAGGGACTATATGTAAATTCCAATGCTAATTCCAATTAGTAGAGAACCTTTTGGGCAGTAGTTCTCAACCTGTGGGTCGGGACCCCATTTGGGGTCGAACGACCATTTCACAGGGTCGCCAAACAACGCAGTCCGCCATTTTTTCCCCCCTTTTCCTTAGCTGTGCTACTCCCTTTTATTCTATTGGCTTTTGAAAGCCAATAGAATAGACTCTCTTGAATAGAGTCTAATTCTATTGGCTTTCCAAAGCCAATAGGAATTGTCCAGGCTGTCTCTGCCCTGCTGAGCCCGCCAAAAGTCCCATTCTGCAAACGGGGCTGCACCAGTTGAGCAGTCCTCGACTTACGACCAGTTGGGGGGTCGCGGCATTAAAAAGGTTGAGAACCACTGCTTTTGGGGCTCGCCGCAGATTAACCAAAGCCCAGCACACCACAAAGAAGCCATAAAAGGAGCACCTGAAACAAACCACACAGCAACGCTGACAACCCCCGTCAAGACCACACCTCTAAGACAAGAAGCAGACTGGGGGATTCCTTCTCGTACCTCTGGTATAAGGAAGCCACCTTTGATCCTGGGTCCAAGAGGCATGGTCATGTTCCAGATGACCAAACAGGAGGATGAGAGCTCAGCATCCAATCTGTTGAAAGCGATCTCCAGATTCTTGCGGTATTCAATCATGGAAGACGGGCCGTATCTGCTCAGGGACAAAAAAAACTAACCAGAATCTGAAACCCTCTATACCGCTCTATAAATAAACTTTGCTCTATAACAATGGTTCTCAACCTGTGGGTCGGGACCCCATTTGGGGTCGAACGACCATTTCACAGGGGTTGCCAAACAAGGCTGTCCGCCATTTTTTTCCCCTTTTCTTTGGCCACGCTCCTGGCACCCGGTGATGTATAAGTGGTTGGGGGTCACCACAACATGGCGAACTGTATTATGGGGTCGCGGCATTAGAAAGGTTGAGAACCACTGCTCTATAAAGACCACATCTAGAATCCTGCATCCAGGTTTGGTCACCACACTATAAAAAAGACGTTGAGACTCCAGAAAAAGAGCAGAGAAGAGCAACAACGGTTAAAACGTACGACGAACGATTGCAGGAATTGGATATATCTAGTTTAATGCAAAGAAGACCTAGCAGTGACATGATATTAGTCTTCCAATATTTGAGGGGCTGCCATAAAGAGGAGGGGGGTCCACCTGTTCTCCAAAGCCCCTGAAGGCAGGACAAGAAGCAACGGATGGAAACTCATCAAGGAGAGAAGCAACCTGGAACTAAGGAGAAACTTCCTGACAGTTAGAACAATCAACCAGTGGAACCATCTGCCTCCAGAAGCAGTGAATGCTCCAACACTGGAAGTTTTTAAGAAGAGACTGGACAGCCATTGGTCTGAAATGGTATAGGGTTTCCTGCCTGAGCAGGGGGTTGGACTAGATGACCTCCACGGTCCCTTCCAATTCTGTTATTCTACATCAGGTCTAAGGGTGACATGATGGCAGCCTTCCAATATTAGAGGGGCTGCCCCCAAGAAGAAGAGGACATTCTCCAAAGCACCCAAAGGGCAGACAAACTGATCAAGGAAGGAGTCCACCTAGAAATAAGGAGAAATTTTGGGACAGTGAGAACAATCGACCAGTGGAACAGAAGTGGCCTTCAGAAGGTGGGGGTTCTTCATCACTGCAGGCTTTCAAGAAGAGGTTGGACAGCCACTTGTCAGAAATGGCCAGGGGTAGGCAACCTTGGCTCTTTTATGACTGGTGGACTTCAACTCCCAGAATTTCCCCTCAGCCAGCCACGCTGAGGGGAAAGGGAGAGGTTGCCAAGCTGGCTCAGGAATTCTGGGAGTTGAAGTCCACGAGTCATAAAGCAGCCTAGGACTAGGCCAGAGGTAGGCAACCTTGGCTCTTTTATGACTCGGACTTCAACTCCCAGAATTCCTGAGCCAGCCACGCTGAGGGGAAAGGGAGAGGTTTCCAAGCTGAGCCAGGCTGGCTCAGGAATTCTGGGAGTTGAAGTCCACGAGTCATAAAAGAGCCAAGGTTGCCCACCCCTGGTCTAGGGTCTTCTGCTTGAGCAAGGGCCCTGGACTAGATGACCTACGAGGTCCCTTCCAATTCTTGTTATTCTGTATTAAAATACCTAAGTCAATCCCTACAACAAGGTCTCCAACCTGGGCAACTCTACAGGTTGTGGACTTCAACTCCCAGAATTCCTCAGCTGAGTAATGAGCATCACCATCTGTCTGTGGCAGAAAATCATCCCAAATTGTCCAGCGTATCTCATGCTAAGCCGAACAAACTACAACTTGACCACAACTGAGCCCGACATTTATGCTACTAAGCGAGACACTTGCTAAGCGAATGTTGTCCCATTTTATGACCTTCCTTGCCACAATTGTTAAGTGAATCGCTGCAGTTGTTAAGCTAGTAACACGGTCGTTAAGCAAATCCGGCTTCCCTTGGCTTCGCTTGTCTCAGAAGGTCGCAAAAGGGGGATCCAACGACCCCCGGGGACGCTGCCGCCATCATAAATACGAGTCAGTTGCCAAGTGTCTGAATTTTGATCACGTGACCACGGGCATGCTGCAACGGTCATTAAGGGTGAAAAACGGTCATAAGACACTTTTTCACTGCCGTTGTAACTTTCAACGGTCACTAAACGAACGGTCGTGAGTCGAGGACTACCTGTACTAAGTTCTGGCTTACAAGTCACACCACAGCTTGGGGTGACAGCAACAGACGAGCATCCACAAGGGTGTAAGTCTGGGGTGTTCAATCTTGGCCCTTTTACACCTTGTGGACTTCAACTCCCAGAATGCACGGCTGGCTGAGGAATTCTGGGAGCTGAAGTCCAGGAGTGGTAAAGTTGCTGAGGTCCTACAGGATTTCAGGCCTTTGAACCACCAAGAGCCCTCTGAAGGTCATCAAATAGTTGACACTCACGACGGACGACAGGCTACCTGGAAACATCCCAAACACAAGAATTGAGGATCAAAACATCTGGCGCTGGGCCAGCCCGGAAATCGTCGAGGATGCTTTCAAAATATGCCGAGTAGATCCGAGTCAGGAAGTAGAAGCGGATGAGATGATAACGGGTGCGATACTGACGGACTTCCCGGTAATGAATTCCGTTGTGTAGGCCCTCAAGCACACCACCTTCGATTAGGTGGTCGTTTTCAAAAGTGAATTCCCCCTGGAGAGAGAAAAGAACAGACGTTCGATAAGCTCCAGATGTAGCACTAGCAATAGCCCTTAGACTTATATACCACTGCATAGTGCTTTTACAGCCCTCTCTAAGCAGTTTACAGAGTATCTTGCCCCCCCCCAACAATCTGGGTCCTCATTTTACCAACCACAGAAGGATGGAAGGATGAGTCAACCTTGAGCCGGTCAGGATTGAACTCCTGACAGTGGGGAGAGTCAGCCTGCCATGCTGCATTCTCACCACTGTGCCACCATGGCTCATTTATCATCAATGATAGATAGATGATGGGTGGGTGGATAGGTAGGTAGGTAGGTAGGTAGGTAGGTAGGTAGGTAGGTAGGTAGATAGATAGATAGATAGATAGATAGATAGATAGATAGATAGATAGATAGATAGATAGATAGATAGATGCGTTGGTGGATAGGTAGGTAGATAAATAGATGGGTGGGTGGATAGGTAGGTAGGTAGGTAGGTAGGTAGATAGATAGATAGATAGATAGATAGATAGATAGATAGATAGATAGATAGATAGATAGATAGATAGATGCATTGGTGGATAGGTAGGTAGATAAATAGATAGATGGGTGGGTGGATAGGTAGGTAGGTAGGTAGATAGATAGATAGATAGATAGATAGATAGATAGATAGATAGATAGATAGATAGATAGATAGATAGATAGATAGATAGATAGATACATGCGTTGGTGGATAGGTAGGTAAAATAGATAGATGGGTGGGTGGATAGGTAGGTAGATAGATAGATAGATAGATAGATAGATAGATAGATAGATAGATAGATAGATAGATAGATAGATAGATAGATAGATAGATGCGTTGGTGGATAGGTATGTAGATAGATAGATGGGTGGGTGGATAGGTAGGTAGATAGATAGATAAGTAGATAGATTGATTGATAGATGATAGATAGATAGATAGATAGATAGATAGATAGATAGATAGATGATGGGTGGGTGGATAGGTAGGTAGATAGATAAGTAGATAGATTGATTGATAGAAGATAGATACATAGACAGATGATAGAAGATAAATGATAGATTGATAGATGATAGATAAATGATAGAGAGATAGAAGATAGATAGATGATAGTAGACAGACAGAAACAGTAGATAGATGATAGATAGAAAATAGATAAATGATAGAAGATAGATGATAGAAGACATAGATGACAGACAGATAGAAGATAGGATAGATAGATAGATAGATAGATAGATAGATAGATAGATAGATAGATAGATAGATAGATAGATAGATAGGCAGGCAGGCAGGCAGGCAGGCAGGCAGGCAGGCAGGCAGGCAGGCGTGTGTGTGTGTGTGAGAGACCGACCATATTTCCTCGAAAATAAGACCTGGTCTTATTTTATTTTATTTACAGCAAAAGACGCATTAGAGCTTATTTTCGGGGAAACACGATATCAGGGTGATCAGCCTGGCCAGGTGACCCACCCCCAGCACATGCACAAGGGGTAGGCAGGTGATCCCAATTCACCAGGTGGCCGCAGACAAGCCGAGAGACGGTGGGACGGAGCGGGCGGCATGTCGGTATTGGCTGCCTCCCCCCTCCCTGTGCTTGGACTTACCTGTGCTGCGCTCGTGCTGGTGGGATGTTCGAGGCTAGCGCCAGTGGGATGCTCGGAACGGCGCTAGCGCCAGTGTGGGGAGTGAGCGCAAGCACATACGCGTGTGGACTGGCCATCCCTTCACGCGGCCCGGTGGCCAAGAGGCTGCGGTCCACACATTGGAGACCCCTGGACTAGAGGACCTCTGAAGTGCCCTCAACAACCCTGTTATATGTCCTAACCTAGCGAAAGCCGACAATGGAGGCACCAAGGAAGGACGCTGAAGGCAGAGCTGCCCCCTCTTCCATCCCCACCCCAAAAAACAGCTCCACCAGACCTCATTCGTTACCTTAGTCTTCATTTGGGACGAAGTGAGTAAGGAGTCACTCTGCAGCAACTGAATGAGGTCCTTGTACACAGATCGCTGGACTGCCGAAAGAGGACGAGAGAGGAGAATGGAACTGCACCTCAAACTCAATTTACGACCGCCAGGGAGCCTGCCCCACCCGCTACGGGCCTAAACCGCGACGGTCATTCAACTTCAGCTCCCAGAATTCCTCAGCCAGCATCACCGTTGCTGAGGATTCCGGCAGTTGAGCCACACAATTGGACGTTGCCCATCTTGGAAGCCTTGAGCGAAGTCTCCAAAGCTGGCCACTTTAAGACTGGTGGACTTCAACTTCCAGAATTCCTCAGCCAGCATCACCATTGCTGAGGATTCCGGCAGTTGAGCCACACAATTGGACGTTGCCCATCTTGGAAGCCTTGAGCGAAGTCTCCAAAGCTGGCCACTTTAAGACTGGTGGACTTCAACTTCCAGAATTCCTCAGCCAGCTTTGCTGGCTGAGGAATTCTGGGAGTTGAAGTCCCTCAGTCTTAAAGTGGCCAGCTTTGGTGATTTTATCCATAAAGGATTGCAGGACGGGGTTGGACTAGAAGACCTCCAAGGTCCCTTCCAGCTTTTGGATGCTATATGAAATCCACGCTCCCAGGAGAAGGCAGAACAGAGAAGGTCCGTGACCTTTTTTCATTCTTCTCCAGCAGAAAGCAGATCCAGCTCCTTCCACGTTCAACTATAACACCCATCATCCTTGGCCCTCTCCCCCACCATTCCAGGTAGGTTCCCCATCTGATGGTGCTGGACCTGAATGACTCACAAGCCCATAATGAGCAAGCAACCGCTGATCCTTTTTCCACGGCCACCATGGGACCTGTCATCCAGGGTACTGATCTAGGGCACCAAGGCTGGGGAAAGCTACTTCAGATGCCTTCAAGAGAGCTGGGAGCGCCTCTCCCCGAAGGCTGCACTCACTTGAGTCGCCTAAGATGACCACAAACTTGTTGTGTAGAAGCTGACGGACCTCCTTCGAATTCAAGCGGAGCATCTCTTGAGGAACGACGTGGTTTTCGGCACACGGGGAATCCGGGGGCCTGCAAGAAAAGACACCCCCGTTCTCAAGGGCTCGTTCCAAAGTCCCAACGCTGCTGCTTCCTCAGACCAGAATTCAAATTCTCATCGCGAAGAACCGGAAAGATCTCAGAAGGCGAAAACGTTGGCCTAAGGTCTCCTGCTTGAGCAGGGGGTTGGACTAGAAGACCTCTGAGGTCCCTTCCAGATGGATTTTTTCCGTTCTGATGGATTTCTCCCCCCCCCCCAGGTTGCAAAGAGGAAGGGGCTGTCGAGCGATAGGAATCAAGACCGTAGGCTAAATTACAACTCAGATTGATTGCGCGAGCCTACACAGGTAGTCCTTGACTTACGACAGGTCATTTAGTTAGTGACCGTTCGGAGTTACAACGGCACTAGAAAAAAAAGGGACTTAGGACCTTTTTTGCACAGCCCAAAATGTCCGTTCCAAATGAGACGGGAGGTGGAGTGAGTTTGGCCCCGTTTTGCGGCCTTGCTTGCCACCGTTGTTAAGTGAATCACTGCACTTGTTAATTTAGTAACCTGGGCGTTAAGTGAATCAGACTTCCCCCCTTGACTTTGCTTGTCAGAAGGTCACAAAAGGAGGAATCACGTGACCCCCGGGGGCACTGCGACCGTCATAACTATGAGTCATTTGCCCAGCGTCTGAATTTTGATCACCTGACCACCGGGGATGCTGTGACGGTCGTAAGTGTGAAAAATGGTCGTAAGTCCGTTTTTTCAGTGCCTTGGACGGTCACTAAATGCCTTTGGGGATGCTGTGACCGTCGTAAGTGTGAAAAACGGGGATGCTGTGATGGTCATGTGAAAAACGGTCATAAGTCCCTTTTTCCAGTGCCTTTGGACGGTCACTAAATGAACTGTCGTAAGTCAGGAGCACTCAGGGCTGTGATTCAAGGGAAAGAGAGGAGAGATGGGGGGGACAGAAATAAATGGAGACAGAAAGAAAGTAACAGAGAGATGATGGATGGATGGAGTCAGAGGAGAGAGAGAGAGAGAGAGAGAGAGAAAATGGAGAGAGAAACAAGAGAATAACAGAATATGACTTAAGGGATCTTGGAGGTCATCTAGTCCAACCCTCTGCTCAGGCAGGAGACCCTATACTAATTCCAAATAAATCTCTTTTTAGAAAATTCTGGGGGGAACTTCTGATCCACCGGTTAATTATCCTGTTAGGAAGTTTCTCCTTAATTCCAGGTTGCTTCTCTCCTTGATTAGTTTCCATCCGTTGCTGCTTGTCCTGCCTTCTGGTGCTTTGGATAATAAGTTGAATAAATAAATAAAAGAAGTTTGGATATATATATATGTGTGTGTGTGTGTGTGTGTGTGTGTGTGTGTGTGTGTGTGTGTGTGTGTGTGTGTTTTTTTTTTTTTTTTTTATTAAAAGTTTTATAAATTTTACAAAAAAGAAAAAGGAATACAAAACAAGAGACAACATATACAAAAAAATAAAACTAAACAATACATATATAAAAAAAAAAAAAACCCCCCACCCCTCCCAAAACCCCCCCCTCCCTTCCCCCCCCCCTGAGCTTCCCAGAGCAGAATATAGGCTTAAAAAGTAAAAATAAAAATTAAATTAAGAACTTTATATTTATATATATATAAAGATTATCTATAACATATATAAAAATAAAACTTATGAAAAAACTATATAATATTTTTGTATACCCAATCTAAATTGTATAAATTTTATCCATTTATCCCAAACCGCAAAAAACTTCTCTTGCGTTTGTTGCTTTAAGAAAGCCGAGATCTTTGCCATTTCCGCCAGATAAGCTACTTTAAGAAACCATTCCTGCAATGTAGGCAAGGATTCCTTCTTCCAATATTGTCCTACTAACAGCCTAGCGGCTGTAATCAAATTTAACATCAATACAACCTCCTTTGTATCACAATCTGTAACAATACCTAACAAAAATAATTGCGGAGTAAATTTTACCCTCCTTCTAAAAATTCTCTGGATATTCCACCATACTTTGATCCAAAATGCTTTTATCTCTCTGCATGACCACCAAATATGATAATAGGAAGCCTCCTTATAACCACATCTCCAACATTTGGGTTGCACGTCAGGGTACATATAAGACATTTTTTGTGGATCAAGGTGCCATCTATAAAACATTTTATAAAAATTCTCCCTTAAGTTCTGTGCTTGTGTAAATTTGACATTTCTCACCCAAATTTTTTCCCAGGTGTCCAATGAACTGGCTCACCAAAATTCTGCGCCCATCTTATCATACAATCTTTAATTAGTTCCGTTTCTGAATCCAATTCAACTAAAACCGCATAAATTCTCTTAATGTGGGTTTGTCTTGAATCCTTCACTTGCTTAATAAGATTTTCATCTTCTCTAAGAAAACCCACCTTACAATCCATCTTCCATCTGTCTAATAATTGCCTATATTGGAACCAAGAATAAATAAAGTTTTCTTGTGCTAACTCTTCACGTGATTTTAATTGCCAGTTTTGGCCATCCCATTTAAGTAACTGTCTGTAAGACACCATATCCATTTTAACCCCTCTTTTTATTGCTTCTATCGCATGCCAAGGTATAGCCCATCGGGTCTCGGGTTTCAAGATTAATGTAAATAAGACCAAAATTTTACCTAAAAATATGTCTAGTCAGGAGAAGCAGATTTTGACTAACCTGACTGGTTTTGAGATTGTTAATAAGGTAAAATATTTGGGGGTGATGTTGTCTGTTTCTAATGTAAAATTATTTAAAAATAATTATGAAAGGTTGTGGGTCAGGGTACAGAAGGACTTGAAGAACTGGGAAAAGTTGCAATTATCCCTCATGGGAAGAATTGCAGTGATAAAAATGAATATTTTACCCAAGTTTCTTTTTCTGTTTCAAATGTTACCAATTTTGAAAAATGAGATTAATTTAAATGAGTGGCAGAAGGGTCTTAATAAATTTATCTGGGCAGGGAAAAAGCCAAGGGTTAAGTTTAAAATTATGCAAGACTTCCGTGAGAGGGGTGGACTTAAGGTACCAAATTTGAAATTATATTATGATGCGGTGGTTTTAACACTAATCAGCGATTGGGTAAATTTGACAAACTCTGAGATACTTTATCTAGAGGGATGGGACTTACTTTATGGGTGGCATGCCTATTTAATATTCAATAAAAAAATGGATTGGGCTTTTAAATCTCATATCTTAAGAATCTCTTTACTTAGGATTTGGAGAAAATATTATAAAAGTGATTTCAAAGTACCATTATGGGTGTGTGTGTATGTTTAAAATCCATTTATTTTTCAACTTTTTAGATTTTTTATTTTACAAATAAAGCAAATAGCTAATAAAGAATAAAATAAATAAAACAATGAATAACATAGAACAATGAAAAAAATAAATAAAATTAATCAAATAGATAATAAATTCGATAATAAAACAGATAATGGACAATAAAATAAATAAAAGGAAGAAAGTAAATAAATAAAATAAAAATGAACAATAAAACCGATAATAAATTAGATGAATAAAACATAATAGACAATAAAATAAATAAAATAATTAATGAAATAGATAATAAATTAGATAAATAAAATAGATAATAGACAATAAATAAAATGAATAAAAGAAATAAAAATTAACAAACGAGATATATAATAAATAAGTGGAAAATATATTGAAAAAATGAGAGAGAGAGAGAGATTCAACAAGAGTTTTCATCCATCTTAGGAATACTTTACAAAAACCCAGAATCAGAAACCTAATTATTCCTTTCCTGGCGTGTGATGGTCTATCCAGCATTTGCAAAGCACAGAAGCCTGAACGTCCCCCCCCCCCCCAAAAAGTCTACCATAATTAGATCACTTGGCTGATCCTCCTTTGTGGTTTAGCCTTTTCCAAGGACGGGTTCTTCTCTTGCCCACCCACATCCACATACACACAAACACACACACACACAACAATTTTCACATTTCCCTTGCGGCCCACCCTCCCCGTTCTGGCCTTCTCTTGACCTTGGAGACAGGCAAGGCGAAAACCCAACTTTATACCCACACCCCCTCGCTTCTAATCACCTTCTCTCTCTCTCTCTCACATACACACACACACACACACACACACACACACACAATCTAATCACCTGGACCGTGAGCACAACCGGGCTCCTTGCTAAAACTCAAAACCAGAGACAAAGAGTTACTTAACCAAGACACCACTTGATCCGAGCAAGCGACATGGCTCTCTGTCCGTTGCCGAAAACCGTCCCCAAATTGTCCAGTCTGACGAGAGTGGGTCACACTTTTTGGTGCTAAGCCATGGTTTGCTGAAGGAACGGCAACACGGTCAGTCCTGCCTCAAACTCAGGCTCCTAAGGAAGGCCGATCCTTCACACACACACACCCTTCGGGTGAGAATCACACACCCTTGGTGCCTGAGAGCGGAGGGTTGGACTACAGGACCTCTAGGGGCTCCCTTCCCAACTCAGCCCTCTTCTGTAGCATTTACTCGAAGTCAAGGGATTACACAGAAGGACAAAGCCAACAGAACTGAAATTCCCAAAACACCTAGTGCAGCGGTTCTCAACCTGTGGGTCGGGACCCCATTTGGGGTCGAACGACCATTTCACGGGGGTCGCCAAACAACGCAGTCCGCCATTTTCCCCCCCTTTTCCTTAGCTGTGCTACTCCCTTTTATTCTATTGGCTTTTGAAAGCCAATAGAATAGACTCTCTTGAATAGAGTCTAATTCTATTGGCTTTCAAAAGCCAATAGGAATTGTCCAGGCTGTCTCTGCCCTGCTGAGCCCGCCAAAAGTCCCATTCTGCAAACGGTGCTGCACCAGTTGAGTAGTCCTCGACTTACGACCGGTTGGGGGGGGTCGCGGCATTAAAAAGGTTGAGAACCACTGACCTAGTGCAACTTTGCCCTCCCCGAGGTGCCTCCCACAGCTGGTCCCTCACAAGTCCAATCCAATTTAGAAGACTTGTTTTTGGAACCGTCCTTCTGAGGAATGCAGT